TTTCTAGAAGAGATGAATCAAATTACTTAAATATAATTTCCATTATATTTGGGCACAAATTAATAGTTTTTGTCGAGCCTTCGACTTTAGTCGAAAAAGCGAGACATATCGATCCTACATTCCGTCGGCGTCGTCGGCGGCGTCCACAAATATTCACTCTGTGGTTAAAGTTTTTGAAATTTAAATAACTTTCTTAAACTATCCTTGATTTCTACCAAACTTGGACAGAAGCTTGTTTATGATCATAAGATAGTATCCAGAAGTAAATTTTGTAAAAATAAAATTCCATTTTTTCCTTATTTTACTTTTAAATGGACTTAGATTTTCTGCCAGGAAACAACACATTCACTCTGTGGTTAAAGTTTTTAAAATTTTAATAACTTTCTTAAACTATCCTGGGTTTGTACCAAACTTGAACAGAAGCTTGTTTATGATCATAAGATAGTATCCAGAAGTAAATTTTGTAAAAAAAAAAAATCCATTTTTTCCTTATTTTACTTTTAAATGGACTTAGATTTTCTGCCAGGAAACAACACATTCACTCTGTGGTTAAAGTTTTTAAAATTTTAATAACTTTCTTATACTATTTTGGATTTGTACCAAACTTGGACAGAAGCTTGTTTATGATCAAAAGCTAGTATCTAGAAGGAAATTTTGTTTTCTTCCAGTTAACATTACATTCAGTCTGCAGTTAAAGTTTTTAAACATTTATTAGATTCATAAACTATTCTGGATTTTTACCAAACTTGGACAGAAGCTTCTTACAATCAAAAGATAGTATCAAGAGGAATATTTTTATTGATTTACTTCCTCATTTTTGTTGAGCCTGCGATTAACAGAAAAAGTAGGCGAGACACTGGGTTCCGCGGAACCCTTACGAATTTTTTTAGTAATTTCTCCAGATAAGTTACTAATATACTTGATCTTTTAAAAGCTTTAGCATTATTAGGAATTCAAATTGTCATTAAAATGTCATGGTTTAATTATACTGTGGATTCATTATTATTCGTTGGAAACCAATATTTTCATGGATTTTGTGGGTACAGGTGAACCACGAAATTAAATGTTCAACGAATGAAAAATTTTCTATAGGCTTGTATGCAGACTTTGGCAAAACCACGAACTTAAATATCCACGAACATGTAAGTTTTCCTTCATCCACTAAAATTGGTACCCACGAAAATAAATGAATCCACAGTAAATATGTTTGCCACTAGAAACAAGGTAACTAGTCAATAAAAGACATTTCTGGAGAAAAGTGAAATAAGATCTACATATCATTTTGCATAAAGAATAAAATGCTTCGCTGGGGCGCAGCTTGATACGACCGCAGAGGTCGAACCCTGAACAGTTGGGGCAAGTATGGACACAACATTCAAGCTTGATACAGCTCTGAATTTGGATTGTTATTAAATATTTGACACAGCATAGGTTTCTGACACAGAAAGAATGTGGTCTAAGAACTTGAATTTTTTTAATTTACCTATTATGGTCCAATGTCCAAAATCAAAATACATGGTTAGATTCAGCATATCAAAGAACCCCATATATTCAATTTTTGTTAAAATCAAACAAAGTTTAATTTTGGACCCCAACTTGGACAAACTTGAAAACTGGGCCCATAATCAAAAATCTAAACACATGTTTAGATTCAGCATATCAAAGAACCCCAAGAATTCAATTTTTGCTAAAATCAAACTAAGTTTAATTTTGGACCCTTTGGACCTTAATGTAGACCAATTTAAAAAACGGGACTTAAAATTAAAAATCTAAATACACGGTTAGATTTGGAATATCAAAGAACCCCAATAATTCAATTTTTGATGAAATCAAACAAAGTTTAATTTTGGACCCTTTTGACCTCAATATGAACCAATTTGATAGCGGGGCCCACAAATAAAAATTCTAAATTCATGGTTAGATTCAGCATATCAAAGAACCCAATATATTCAATTTTTGTTAAAATCAAAAAAAGTTTAATTTTGGACCCCAACTTGGACCAACTTGAAAACTGGGCCCATAATCAAAAATCTAAACACATGTTTAGATTCAGCATATCAAAGAACCCCAAGAATTCAATTTTTGTTAAAATCAAACTAAGTTTAATTTTGGACTCTTTGGACCTCAATGAAGACCAATTTAAAAAACGGGACCCAAATTAAAAATCTAAAAACACGGTTAGATTTGGCATATCAAAGAACCCCAATAATTCAATTTTCGATGAAATCAAACAAAGTTTAATTTTGGACCCTTTTGACCTCAATATGAACCAATTTGATAGCGGTGCCTACAAATAAAAAATCTAAATACATGGTTAGATTCAGCATATCAAAGAACCTCATATATTCAATTTTTGTTGAAATCAAACAAAGTTTAATTTTGGACCCCAATTTGGACCAACTTGAAAACTGGGCCCATAATTAAAAATCTAAATACATGTTTAGATTCAGCATATCAAAGAACCCCATATATTCAATTTTTGTTGAAATCAAACAAAGTTTAAATACTGGACCCTATCTTGGACCAACTTGAAAACTGGGCCCATAATCAAAAATCTAAACACATGTTTAGATTCAGCAAATCAAAGAACCCCAAGAATTCAATTTTTGTTAAAATCAAACTAAGTTTAATTTTGGACCCTTTGGACCTCAATGTAGACCAATTTAAAAAACAGGACCCAAAATTAAAAACCTAAATACACGGTTAGATTTGGAATATCAAAGAACCCCAATAATTCAATTTTAGATGAAATCAAACAAAGTTTAATTTTGGACCCTTTTGACCTCAATATGAACCAATTAGATAACGGGGTCCACAAATAAAAAATCTAAATACATGGTTAGATTCAGCATATCAAAGAACCCCATATATTCAATTTTTGTTGAAATCAAACAAAGTTTAATTTTGGACCCCAATTTGGACCAACTTGAAAACTGGGCCAAAAATCAAAAATCTAAATACATGTTTAGATTCAGCATATCAAAGAACCTCATATATTCAATTTTTGCTAAAATCAAACAAAGTTTAATTTTGGACCCTTTGGACATTAATGTAGACCAATTTGAAAACTGGACCCAAAATTAAAAATCTAAATACACTGTTAGATTCGGCATAACAAATAAATAAATGTGATCAAAGATTTTACAAATCTAATGCGCCATACTGTGCAATTAAAGATTACTTCTTGAAATTTTTCAATATTTGAAATTTGAAAAAAAAATAATATTTGAAGAATAATTCTTTTTAATTTCTGAAATCTGAAATGAGAAAAAATTGGCCCCCCACAATTTCTTTTTATCCCCCCCCCCCCCCTTTTCCCCCAAAAAAATTCTTTCCCTCAAGATATGGTCATAATCTCAATTCAAATTTCCAATGGAGTTGGCAACCATAATTACCCATTTAAATTTGCCATAGTGCTAACTTAATCTATTTTATAATAGAATTAATAAAAATATAGTGTCAAATCTTTCATATGGATTTTTTTGTAAAAAAAAAAGATGAAAACATTTGCAGATATTTTTACTGGTCTTCCTTTATAAATATGCATTTCTTTAAACATAATTTAAAAGCAGTGTAAGGGAAGTAACCAAAATGTTGTATTTGGATTACCTCCCTTACACTGTTTTAGATTATCTTTATTGTTCATTAACCATTACTTATACATAATTTAAAAGCAGTGTAAGGGAGATAATTTCAATGATGTATTTGATTTATCTCCCTTACACTGCTTTAAATTATGTTTTGTACTAAAGTATTTGTCCATTAACCAGGACAACCTTGTTTTTCCCCCTTTTTTGCCCCTAATTCCTAAACGGTTTGAGCCATAACCCCCCCAAAGCAAATCCTAACCATCCCTTTGTGGTATGGAAACTTGTAGTATAATTTCAGAGAGATCCATACACCGTTCCACAGTTATTGTCTGGAAACTAGAAAATGCTCATTTTTGGCCCCTTTTTGGCCCCTAATTCCTTAACTGTTGGTACCATAACCCCCAAAATCAATCCCAACCTTCCTTTTGTGGTATTTAACCTTATGGTCAAATTTCAAAAAGATCCATTCACTTAAACTAAAGTTAGAGTGCGAAAACCAATATGTATTCGGACGACGACGCCGGACGACGACGACGACGCCAACGTCATACCAATATACGACCACAAAATTTTTTTGCGGTCGTATGAAAATTAGTTGAGATAACACATGAAGAAGATATCTTAGTTATAAAAATATGTTTAATTCATTTGTTGTTGTTCCTCGACAGTGAAATATGTCTTAACTTATAATATAACACACAGTCCTATTGGTGGATTAATGCAAAATTTATACTGTAGTTCAAAGAGTTATTAAATAATTTTATAAATGCATGATTTTTTGAGAATTGAAATTGCCGGATAATGCATTAAACTCATTCTAACATATCTTTTTTTTGCATGCATCACAATCTGTGTTTCTTTCCTGTTAAAAACTCATTGAAAATATCATTAAACTGGGGGAAATAAAATTAATAAACTCAACAAAGATACCAGCATTAAAATTTCGTTTGCCAGACATGTCTATCTTCTTTAAAAGATTCATCAGTGACGCTTGAATCAATCAAGTTTAAAAGGCCAAATATAGTAGGAAGTTTAAAAGCATTGAGGACCCAAAATTCCAAAAGGTTCTAATGAATACAACTAAGGCAATCTATTCCTTGGGTAGAAAATCCTTAGTATTTCCTTAGAAAACTAAATATGCATACAATATGAACACAGATCCTGATTAAGTTATTTATCATTATTTCCATAGGAAAGAGTATTCTCTCAATACAACTACATGAAGTACATATATAAAAGTCCAATATAAACAGATAGATAACTGCCAGTAGTCAACAACTATTCTTATCACAATATAAAGTCAATTCATATCTTTCATAAGCCATATTTTAAGTTGTCTTTCTTTCTGCCCTAAGTTCATATCACAACCACCAGAGTAACTCTATCTAATGTCACATTACTCTTTCTTTAAATGTCTCATTACTCTTTCTTTAAATGTCTCATCCTTATATTTTAAAGTTATATCACTCTTTCTTAATGTCAAATCAAAATCGATTCTGGTGAATTAGCTGGTTTAGTTTTTCTTCTTTAGCCCTCCGACAATGTGATTGCTGAAATAAAAGTAATATTACAATGAGAGATATTTGTGAATGTATTGTATTCGACATCATAACATTCTGTATCCTGTTTGTTAAAAAATTAGTGGAGAGAAAATTTGAAAAAGAAGCCTTGACCAAAATAATTGTTAGCCAGTAAATAGACATTCATATAATAAACTTCATGTTAAAATATCTTTATGGGTGATTGTTACGTTGTATATTATTTCTAAGCTTGTACCAGTCAAATAGTCAAGATTTTGTGTCTTTGCCACTTTACTACTGAATTTCCTATCATGTTAATATACCTGTATAACCGACTACACAATACATTTTAAACCAAAACTGTGATGTTTTATTTAAGTGTAGTTTCATCATTTGATTCTGAAAATAAGAGATAGTTTGAAATATCTTTGACTCAAAGGCTAATTTTCCCCTTAACTGTACTGTCTCAATTAAAATGATTGTCTATGTCTAAGCAAGTGTAGGGTATTGCTGTTCAATTAAAATGCTTTAAACTAAAGAAAATTAAATGTGTAAATGTTCAATCTTACCATTCTTATCTGAAGAAACTTTTGCGTAAATTCATCAATCTCCATCTTTTCTGAAAATAAAAATTAAAAACATTTTTTTATTTGAATAAAGCCAACAAAAAATGACAAGAATTCCTATTTCATTTATTAGGTTAAGCAGTTGTGTATATAAATTTTTGGTTTTCTGCCCATATGTTCTAATTAAGTTAATATAAAACAAAATGGTATGTTTACCAAAGATTGAGGTGGATATCTACACATATAACAAGTAACTTTTTATGACGTTTATCTAATGGCAAAGACCACTATTGTATGGAAAGCTACAAGAGGCCATTTATCAAATAATTCTATAAGTATAAAAAGATTTGCATTTTGTGCAATGGAACCACAAAAATAGAAAAAAAAAAATTTTGAAAATTACTTTCAACCAGTAGATGTCAAAAATGTTAATGTACCTGTCTCATGTCAGGAACATCATCAGTGCTTGTTTTTATACGACCGCAAAAAAATTTTTGTGGTCGTATATTGGTATGACGTTGGCGTCGTCGTCGTTGTCGTCCGGCGTCGTCCGAAGACACATTGGTTTTCGCACTTTAACTTTAGTTTAAGTAAATGGATCTCTATGAAATTTTACCACAAGGTTCAATACCACAAAAGGAAGGTTGGGATTGATTTTGGGGGTTATGGTACCAACAGTAAAGGAATTAGGGGCCAAAAAGGGGCCAAAAATAAGCATTTTTGTAACTTCCAGACATAACTTGTGTGTTAGTGTATGGATATCTCTGACATTGTACCACAAGGTTCCATATCACAAAAGGAATGCTGGGATTGATTTTGGGGGTAATTGTCTCAAAATTTTAGGAATTAGGGGCCAAAAAAGGGGGAAAAAAAAAAGCATTTTTCTAGACTCATGACAATAACTTGTGTGTAAGTGTATGGATGTTTCTGAAATTGTACTACAAGGTTCCATATCACAAAGGGAAAGCTGGAATTGAGTTTGGGGGTAATTGCCGAAACGTTTAGGGATTGGGGGCCAAAAAAGGGGCCAAAAATAAGCATTTTTCTAGTTTCCAGACAATAACTTGTGTTCAAGTGTATGGATCTCTCTGAAATTGTACTGCAAGGTACCATACCACAAAGGGAAGGCTGGGATTGATGATGGGGGTTATTGCCAATATTTTAGGAATTAGGGACCAAAAAGGGGCAAAAAACAAGCATTTTTCTAGTTTCAGGACAATAACTTGTGTGTAAGTGTATGGATCTTTCTGAAATTGTACTACAAGGTTCCATATCACAAAGGGAAAAGGTCGTATATTGGTATGACGTTGGCGTCGTCGTCGTTGTCGTCCGGCGTCGTCCGAAGACACATTGGTTTTCGCACTTTAACTTTAGTTTAAGTAAATGGATCTCTATGAAATTTTACCACAAGGTTCAATACCACAAAAGGAAGGTTGGGATTGATTTTGGGGGTTATGGTACCAACAGTAAAGGAATTAGGGGCCAAAAAGGGGCCAAAAATAAGCATTTTTGTAACTTCCAGACATAACTTGTGTGTTAGTGTATGGATATCTCTGACATTGTACCACAAGGTTCCATATCACAAAAGGAATGCTGGGATTGATTTTGGGGGTAATTGTCTCAAAATTTTAGGAATTAGGGGCCAAAAAAGGGGAAAAAAAAAAAGCATTTTTCTAGACTCATGACAATAACTTGTGTGTAAGTGTATGGATGTTTCTGAAATTGTACTACAAGGTTCCATATCACAAAGGGAAAGCTGGAATTGAGTTTGGGGGTAATTGCCGAAACGTTTAGGGATTGGGGGCCAAAAAAGGGGCCAAAAATAAGCATTTTTCTAGTTTCCAGACAATAACTTGTGTTCAAGTGTATGGATCTCTCTGAAATTGTACTGCAAGGTACCATACCACAAAGGGAAGGCTGGGATTGATGATGGGGGTTATTGCCAATATTTTAGGAATTAGGGACCAAAAAGGGGCAAAAAACAAGCATTTTTCTAGTTTCAGGACAATAACTTGTGTGTAAGTGTATGGATCTTTCTGAAATTGTACTACAAGGTTCCATATCACAAAGGGAAAGCTGGGTTTGAGTTTTGGGGTAATTGCCCTAAACATTTAGGAATTAGGGGCCAAAAAGGGGCCAAAAAACACATTTTTCTAGTTTCCAGACAATAACTTGTGTTCAAGTGTATGGATCTCTCTGAAATTGTACTGCAAGGTACCATACCACAAAGGGAAGGCTGGGATTGAGTTTGAGGGTGATGAATCATAAGGGGGTTCAAAAAATTTTGGGCGGGGGATTTTTTTATCTTCCTTTTTTATCTTTTTTTCCTTTTTTTTTCTTTTAAAATTTTCCATTTTAAGTTGGTTATTTCTGATTTATATTTAAAAGCAAATAATGATGATATGGTAGGAGATACACACCAAACAGGATGTGTAAATTATTATATAATAAGTATTGTGCAATAGCAAGAAATTTTCAATTGCACAGTATCGCACAATAGCAAGAAATCTTCAATTGCACGGTATTGCGCAATAGCAAGAAATCTTCAATTGCACAGTATTGCGCAATAGCAAGACATATCCAATAGCACAATATTGCGCAATAGCAAGAAATTGTCAATTGTACAGTCTTGCGCAATAGCAAGAAATATTTAATTGCACAGTATTGTGCAAAAGAAGATACTTCGTATAAATTGCTTATTTCTTGACCAATTTCAATGGGGTTTTATTCTTGAATTCTTGGGGTTCTTTAATATGCTGAATCTAACCGTGTATTTAGTTTTTGGATTTTGGGCCCCGTTTTTAAATTGGTCCACATTGAGGTCCAAAGGGTCCAAAATTAAACTTTGTTTGATTTCATTAAAAATTGAATTATTGGGGTTCTTTGATATGCCGGATCTAACCGTGTATTTAGATTTTGGATATTGGACCATAATAGGTGAATGTCCAATTTAAAATTTTTAAGTTCTTAGACCACATTCATTCTGTGTCAGAAACCTATGCTGTGTCAAATATTTAATCACAATCCAAATGCAAAGCTGTATCAAGCTTGAATGTTGTGTCCATACTTGCCCCAACTGTTCAGGGTTCGACCTCTGCGGTCGTATCAAGCTGCGCCCTGCGGAGCATTTTATTAAATTATATCTTTGGGTGTTTTGCCCTCAAGAAATGTGGTTTGGATAGTAGATATTTGATAGTCTCTGTTAAATTTGTGCACTACTTGTTTAGAATCTTTGTTATTTAAACAGCTGATGTATGTAATATTTTCCATTGGACATAAACACCAATCCATCATCATCATTGTTATTTAGTGCCTGAAAAACTGTCAATCAACTAATTTTTGTTACTTCTCCAATTGGATCTGCTCTTATATGAATACATCAAAACCTTTGGCAAAGCAAGGAAAATGAATGACAGTAGAGTTGTGTCCGTGGATTGTTGTCTCATTGATGTTTATCCAACATCACCTTTTTTTCATTTATACAGAAAAATAAATCTTCTCTAAAAACATTGGACTAAATAGGAACCAAATCTGGAAATGATTTATCTGTAATTTTTGTGATTGAGATTTTTTAGTGTAAAATTTTATTAAGCCCAAAGATCAAAGAACATCATAATACAAAATGTACTTACTATTTAAAAATTCATCTACAACTTTTTCAGATTCTTCCTCTGCCTCCATTAATGCTACTTTCATGTTCGTCTGAATGTTTGTTGGATGGAATGTATCAGACAGTGACATAAGCTTCTCTTGATCTCGCTCAAATTCTTCCCTGGATCTTTCAAAAAGTTGATTCTGAAAACAAAATTTTTCTTCCTTGTAATCACTTTATATTCTGAGAAACCTTGAATCATTGAAAAATTCTAAGAGCTTTCAGAAAATAAATGTGGATAGTGTCCACATGTGGACACAGATGATGCCCCCGCTTGCATATCATATAGTTATAAAGGGACAAAACTGAAGAACGGTAAAAGTGAGGCTACCCAAATTTGAACTTGATCTGAGTTTTGTGGTAATGAATATTGTGTATAGGTTTCATAATGTTTGGTTGAGGCAAAACTTAAGTTAGAGAACAGAAACTAAAAATTTAGAAAAGTGACGCCACCAAAATTCAAACTTGATCTGTGTTTTGTGGTAATAAGCATTGTGTATAAGTTTCATAACATTTGGTTGAGGCAAACTCAAGTTAGAGAACGGAAACCAATTTTGGGACGTACAGACGGACGCTACGGCGGGGGCATAAACTAGAGGCTCTCAAGAGCCTGTGTCGCTCACCTGATTCTACTTTGGTTTTGGAAATCATGTAAAAATAGATTAAAATCATAACAGATACCCTAATAATGAGTGAGGCCAAATTTGGTTTAATATTAGTCCTGTAATTTAATAAAAAATCCTGGTGGCCATCTTGAACAGTAAATTGGCAACAAAGTAGCAACACTTAATCAGCACCTCATAAGAAACATTTATGCCATGTTTTGGTTTCATTCCATTCAGTGCACCTCTAGAAGAAGCATTTGTATGTATTTCCCATAGGGTCTTATGTTAAAGGAAGTCCCCCCATTGGCAGACATCATGGATGAAGGATCAGCTTCAAAGTAACAAAACTTAGTCAGCACCTCATAAGGAACATTCATGCCATGTTTGGTTTCAATCCATTCAGTATGTGGTTCTCTAAAAGAAGACATTTGTATGTATTGTCCATAGGGTCCTTTGTTAAACATTGTCCACAGCTGGCAGCCATCATGGATGAAGGATCAGCTTCAAAGTAACAACACTTGGTCAGCACCTCTAAAGGAACATGCATGCCATGTTTGGTTTCATTCCATTCAATGGTTCTCTAAAAGAAAACATTTGTACGTATTTCTCATAGGGTCCTATATGTTAAACTAAGTCCTCCGCTGGCGGCCATCTTAGATTATGGATCGGCTTCATAGTAACAACACTTGGTCAGCATCTTATAAGGAACATTCATGCCATGTTTGGTTTCATTGCATTCAGTGGTTCTCTAAAAGAAGACATTTGTATGTATTTCCCATAGGGTCCTATGTTAAACTAAGTCCCCCGCTGGCTGCCATCTTGGATTATGGATCAGCTTCAAAGTAACAACACTTGGTCAGCACCTCATAAGGAACATTCTTGCCATGTTTGGTTTCATTCCATTCAGTGGTTCTCTAAAAGAAGACGTTTGTATGTATTTCCCTTAGGGTCCCATGTTAAACTAAGTCCCTGGCTGGCGGCCATCTTGGATTATGGATCGGCTTCAAAGTAACAACACTCGGTCAGCACCTCATAAGGAACATTCATGCCATGTTTGGTTTCATTCCATTCAGTGGTTCTCTAAGAGAAGACATTTGTATGTATTTCTCATAGGGTCCCATGTTAAACTAAGTCCCCTGCAGGCGGCCATCTTGGATTATGGATCGGCTTCAAAGTAACAACACTCGGTCAGCACCTCATAAGAAACATTCATGCCATGTTTGGTTTCATTCCATTCAGTGGTTCTCTAAAAGAAGACATTTGTATGCATTTCCCATAGGGTCCTATGTTAAACTAAGTCCCCCGCTGGCGGCCATCTTGGATGATGGATCCGCTACAAAGTAACAACACTTGGTCAGCACCTCATAAGGAACATTCCTGCCATGTTTGGTTTCATTCCATTCAGTGGTTCTCTAGAAGAAGTTCAAAATGTAACTAGAGGCTCTAAAGAGCCTGTGTCGCTCACCTTGGTCTATGTGCATATTAAACAAAGGACACAGATGGATTCATGACAAAATTGTGTTTTGGTGATGGTGATGTGTTTTGGTGATGGTGATGTGTTTGTAGATCTTACTTTACTGAACATTCTTGCTCCTTACTATTATCTCTATCTATAATGAACTTGGCCCGGTAGTTACAGTGGAAAATACTTTGTAAAAATTTACAAAAATTTACAAAATTTATGAAAATTGTAAAAAATTGACTATAAAGGGCAATAACTCCTTAAGGGGTCAATTGACAATTTTGGTCATGTTGCCTTATTTGTAGATCTAACTTTGCTGTACATTATTGCTGTTTACAGTTTATCTCTATCTATAATAATATTCAAGATAATAACCAAAAGCTGCAAAATTTTCTTAAAATTACCAATTCAGGGGCAGCAACCCAACAATGTGTTGCCTGATTGGTCTGAAAATTTCAGGGCAGATAGATCTTGACCTAATGAACAATTTTACCCCCATGTCAGATTTGCTCTAAATGCTTTGGTTTCAGAGATATGAGCCAAAAACTGCATTTTACCCTATGTACTATTTTTTAGCCATGTCGGCCATCTTGGTTCACGGGCGGGGTCATCGGACACATTTTTTAAACAAGATACCCTAATGATGATTGTGGACAAGTTTGGTTAAATTTGTCTTAGTAGTTTCAGAGGAGAAGATTTTTGTAAAAGATTACAAAAATTTACGAAAAATGGTTAAAAATTGACTATAAAGGGCAATAACTCCTTAAGGGGTCAACTGACCATTTTGGTCAAGTTGACTTATTTGTAGATCTTACTTTGCTGAAAATTATTGCTGTTTACAGTTTATCTCTATCTATAATAATATTCAAGATGATAACCAAAAACAGCAAAATTTCCTTAAAATTACCAATTCAGGGGCAGCAACCCAACAACAGGTTGTCCGATTCATCTGAAAATTTCAGGGCAGATAGATCTTGACCTTATAAACAATTTTACCCATGTCAGATTTGCTCTAAATGCTTTGGTTTCAGAGATATAAGCCAAAATCTACATTTTACCCCTATGTTCTATTGTTAGCCATGGCGGCCATCTTGGTTTGTTGGCCGGGTCACCAGACACATTTTTTAAACTAGATACCCCAATGATGATTGTGGCCAAGTTTGGTCAAATTTGGCCCAGTAGTTACAGAGGAGAAGATTTTTGTAAAAGTTTACGGACGACGGACGACGGACGCAAAGTGATGAGAAAAGCTCACTTGACCTTTCAGGTCAGGTGAGCTAAAAATCAGTTGGTAGTTGTGAAGTTAAATGACACTGAAGGTTACATATATACTTTATGCCTTGTAAAAGGTCATTAAAACTTTTACCAACTATTAACTATTAATTTTCAGATTATCCCAACCACAATACTAAGTATTTTTCGAGAGTAGCCCTCACATACCTGAAGCAAAATATTTTTTGCAGAAAATTATACTTTTCTTATAAACCATTAATTACTCTGTTATGCAATGAAAAATTTGACAGAAAAAGCCATATAGTTTTTTTCATAAATTAAATAATTTTCATTTTTACAATATAATATTACCTTTTCACCAACCCATTGTCTCATCTGTTGGATCTTTGGTTTCTTAGATAAATTTTCTTCTGTAAAATAATTATTTTAATGTATCTTTATGCTATAGATATATTTATTGTTAATGAGTAGGTGTTTATTTTTGTTGGTTAATAGTTGTTATTTTTAGTTAGATGGTAGGTGTTCAACTTCTCTATATATCTAAACAACTTAAACACGTTCTTAGTAAACCAGAATATAGAGGTCAAACAACAGACCTTCTACAAGTAAAATTTGTTTGTTCACATTTCTTCTTTCTATCATTAATGTAAAGGTCTTTTATCTCTCCTTCTTCCCTTCAATTGACAATGGAATTTTTATTCAAATTCAAATTAAAATTAACAAATTCCTTATTGGCATTTTTTATAATACAGCTTCATTCAAAAAATTATTCTTTTGCATAAAATTGACAAATATATAAACAAATATCCAATTAGACATATGTACCTTCTTGAAACAGACATTTTTTTTTAAATATAAAATAAATAGTTGAATATAAAACATTTTTGCTTTCTGTAGATTCTTTTAATCTAAGATAATAATTTTTCTGCTAAAAGAAATAGTTACTGTTTCATACAGTCAACTGGAAAATTTCTCATGAAAAACTTATCTTGTGGTTTGCATGTCTTAAAACTATTCCCCCAAAAAAGTATAAATCTAAAGGAAATGGACAACATTTGTATACTTACTAGCTAGTTCTATACATTCATTAGATAATTTTTCTCTGTCTTCCTTCATTTTTGATACTTCTGACATTTTTTGTATCATTTCTAAGATTTTGTCTTCTTCATTTAACAATCCATTCAATTCTGTAAGACTAAAACAAAAGATACACTTAATTTCAACAAAGTTTGCAATTATTTAGTTTGCTCAGATTGTCATTTAGATAAATCTGTTAACCGTTTAATGCTGAAATAATAATAATAATTTCAAAGACAATCTTTGATAAAACAAACATACAGATGATGAATAACTTTTTAATTTAATATTTGTCACAAAACATATTTCACAGACTTAATACAGTGACACAGGATCATCTAGGCTAAAAAATATTAAATAAACTCTAGTTATATTTTCCTTTCTTTATTTTTTTTATTAGAACAACATACAGTAACAAAGCTAGGAACCTTTCTGGTCTTAGTTTAGTAATTTAGTAGATTTCTTTTTCCACAAAAGAGTTTGGCAGAAGTTTGGTGGTCTTTGTTGAATTCATTAACAACTTGTGTTAGACTTGGGCTTAAAATGTTGTATAAGCACTCTACTAGTAATAGAGATTGTACACTGACTTAAAGATGATTTGTTTTATTGTGTTGTTTGGTTGCTGTTTAGATTAGGTATTACCAAAATCTCATTTCAAATCATATATAAGTTTTACCTTTTAGTTTTTAATTCTGGGAAGGCAGCAAACACATCTGGTACCCTTAATTCATCATCGGGTACCTGTAACAATAAAGAAAACATTCATAAAGGTTAGATACATACATATTCTTCAAATTCAGAAATGACCAAAATGTGTTTTATCAATGCAAAACAAGTATTACAGAATGAACACTAGGCCAAAATTGATTTTCCATTTCTATAAATATTCCAATTACTGTTGTACTGGAATCTAAATAATCTTGCATTGTAGTCAATGGTATAGGATACTCTCTCTCATATCTGAATTTTAATATAAAAATAAGAAAATGTGGTATGATTGCCAATGAGACAACTCTCAACAAGAAACCAAATGACACAGACATTAGCAACTATAGGTCACTGTATGGCCTTCAACTATGAGTAAAACCCATACTGCATAGTCAGCTATAAAAGGCTCCAAAATGACACATGTAAAACAATTCAAACAAGAAGACTAACGGCCTGATTTATGTACAAAATAATGAACAAAAAACAAATATGGAATACAGCAACAAACGACAACCACTGAATTACAGACTCCTGACTTGGGACAGGCACATATAGAATGTGGCGGGGTTAAACTAGTCTGAAAGCGCCAACCCTCCCACTAACCTGGGACAGTGGTGTAACAGTACAAACATAAGAACAAATTATAATCAAAGCGCGAAAGCGCTGTAAAGGCAGTTAATTACAGGTTGTGTGTATTTTTAGTCCAGTTATATCATTATCTTGCATAGTACATTGTACTTATCAGAGGTGGCTTTCAGTATTTAAGATTTAGAGTTCTCTAATGATATTGAACAAGTTTTATGAATGTCATATTCTGAGCACTATATGAAGGCGATTGTTCTCATTTGTTTATGAACTAGTGGATTATGTCCAGTTTGTACCTTTTTTATCTATGTTTATAGTCAAATACTGTTAAAAATAGTTTTGCATTTTCTTTTTAGTAATAAGTAAATGTTATCAACTGTATTTTATTCGACTTTGCAAATGTGGTTTGTTACTGGTAAGTACAATGTATGGGTGATAGTTGTTTCATTGGCAATCATGACACATCTCCTTATTTATATAATGATCTATATTCAACGACTTCAGGTACAAAAAAAATGTATGTAACTAAACTATGATGGGAAAACTTTGACTTCTTTCTTTTATATAAACTTTTGATTTGGTACCATAAAACTATGTAGAATAAATGTACATTGCAACATGTCAACTCTTTCAATGACAATACTTTTTTTAGAAACTATAACTCCAAGCAAAATTATATTTCCAAGTATAAAGTAAATTATGAATGAAACAAGAGTGAACACGCTGAAATGTCTCGCCTTCTTTACTAATCATTGATATTATGTTGATAGTCCTAAATATAAAGCTTTATTACAACTGTCACATAAACTTAACATTAACCAAGTAAACTAAACATTGACCAATGAACCAAGAAAATGAGGTCAAGGTCAGATGAACCATGCTAGGCAGGCATGTACAGCTAACAATTCTTCCATACAACAAATATAGTTGACCTATTGCTTATAGTTTAAGAAAAACAGACCAAAACACAAAAACTTAAAACTGAGCAATTAACCTTGAAAATGAGGTCAAGGTAAAATAAAATGCTCCGCAGGGCGCAGCTTGATACGACCGCAGAGGTCGAACCCTGAACAGTTGGGGCAAGTATGGACACAACATTCAAGCTTGATACAGCTCTGAATTTGGATTGTGATTAAATATTTGACACAGCATAGGTTACTGACACAGAATGAATGTGGTCTAAGAACTTAAAAATTTTAAATTGGACATTCACCTATTATGGTCCAATATCAAAAATCTAAATACATGGTTAGATTCAGCATATCAAAGAACCCCAAGAATTCAATTTTTGATGAAATCAAACAAAGTTTAATTTAGGACCCTTTTGACCTCAATGTGGACAAAGTTGATAACGGGGCCCAAAAATCAAAAATCTAAATACATGGTCAGATTCAGCATATCAAAGAACCCCAAATATTCAATTTTTGTTGAAATCAAACAAAGTTTAATTTTGGACCCCGATTTGGACCAACTTGAAAACTGGGCCCATAATCAAAAATCTAAATATATGTTTAGATTCAGCATATCAAAGAACCCTAAGAATTCAATTTTTGTTAAAATCAAACTTAGTTTAATTTTGGACCCTTTGGACCTTAATGTAGACCAATTTAAAAACGGGGCCCAAAATCCAAAAACGGAACCAAAAATTAAGAATCTAAATACACGGTTAGATTCGGCATATCAAAGAACCCCAATAATTCAATTTTTGATGAAATCAAACAAAGTTTAATTTTGGACCCTTTGGACCTCAATGTGGACCAATTTAAAAACGGGGCCCAAAATCCAAAAACTTAATACACGGTTAGATTCAGCACATTAAAGAACCCCAAGAATTCAAGAATAAAACCCCATTGAAATTGGTGCAATTGAATATTTCTTGCTATTGCGCAATACTGTACAATTGACAATTTCTTGCTATTGCGCAATATTGTGCTATTGGATATTTCTTGCTATTGCGCAATACTGTGCAATTGAAGATTTCTTGCTATTGCGCAATACTGTGCAATGGAAGATTTCTTGCTATTGTGCAATACTGTGCAATTGAAAATTTCTTGCTATTGCACAATACTTATTATATAATAATTTACACATCCTGTTTGGTGTGTATCTCCTACCATATCATTATTATTTGCTTTTAAATATAAATCAGAAATAACCAACTTAAAATGGAAAATTTTAAAAGAAAAAAAAAAGGAAAAAAAAGAAAAGAAATGAAAAAAAAAATCCCCCCCCCAAATTTTTTGAAACCCCTTATGATTCATCACCCCCAAACTCAATTCCAGCCTTCCCTTTGTGGTATGGAACCTTGCAGTACAATTTCAGAGAGATCCATACACTTGAACACAAGTTATTGTCCTGAAACTAGAAAAATGCTTGTTTTTTTTTCCTTTTTGGCCCCTAATCCCTAAAATTTTGAGGCAATTACCCCCAATATCAATCCAAGCCTTCCCTTTTTGGTATGGTACCTTGCAGTACAATTTCAGAGAGATCCATACACTTGAACACAAGTAATTGTCTGGAAACTAGAAAAATGCTATTTTTGGCCCCTTATTCCTAAACGTTTTGGGCAATTACCCCCAAACTCAATTCCAGCTTTCCCTTTGTGATATGGAACCTTGTAGTTCAATTTCAGAAAGATCCATACACTTACACACAAGTTATTATCATGAAACTAGAAAAATGCTTGTTTTTTGCCCCTTTTTTGGCCCCTATTCCTAAAATTTTGAGGCAATTACCCCCAAAATCAATCCCAGCATTCCCTTTGTGATATGAAACCTTGTGGTACAATGTCAGAGAGATCCATACACTAACACACAAGTTATGTCTAGAAGTTACAAAAATGCTTATTTTTGGCCCCTAATTCCTTAACTGTTGGTACCATAACCCCTAAAATTAATCCCAACCTTCCTTCTGTGGTATTGAACCTTATGGTAAAATTTCACGGAGATCCATTCACTTAAACTAAAGTTAGAGTGCGAAAACCAATGTGTCTTCGGACGACGCCAGACGACGACGACGCCAACGTCATACCAATATACGACCAAAAAATATTTAAATTTTGCGGTCGTATAAAAAAACCTGCGTGACAAATAGATCATAAAATATTTCCATACACCAAATATAGTTGAACTATTACATATAGTATTAGAAAAAAAGACCAAAACTCAAAAACTTAACTTTGACCACTGAACCATGAAAATGAGGTCAAGGTCAGATGACACCTGCCAGCTAGACATGTACACCTTACAATCATTCCATACACCAAATATAGTAGACCTATTGCATACAGTATAAGAAAAACAGACCAAAACACAAAAACTTAACTATAACCACTGAACCATGAAAATGAGGTCAAGGTCAGATAACACCTGCCAGTTGGACAGTCCTTCCATACACCGAATATACTAGACCTATTGCTTATAGTATCTGAGATATGGACTTGACCACCAAAACTTAAACTTGTTCACTGATCCATGAAATGAGGTCGAGGTCAAGTGAAAACTGTCTGACGGGCATGAGGACCTTGCAAGGTACGCACATACCAAATATAGTTATCCTATTACTTATAATAAGAGAGAATTTAACATTACAAAAAATCTTAACTTTTTTTCAAGTAGTCACTGAACCATGAAAATGAGGTCAAGGACATTGGACATGTGACTGACGGAAACTTCGTAACATGAGGCATCAATATACAAAGTATGAAGCATCCAGACCTTCCACCTTCTAAAATATAAAGCTTTTAAGAAGTTAGCTAACGCCGCCACCGGATCACTATCCCTATGTCGAGCTTTCTGCGACAAAAGTCGCAGGCTCTACAAAAAGGAGTTCTTAATTAAGAAATAAACTGATTCGCTGAGCGCAGCTGGATACACCTGCAGAGGTCCAACCCTGAATAGTTGGGGCAAAAATGGACACAATATTCAAGCTTGATACAGGTCTGAATTTGGATTGTAATTAAATATTTGACATATTATAGTTTCTGAATAAATGTAGTCAAAGAACTTGAAATCGTTTTTATTTTAATTGAATTTATATTCAATTAAAGATTTCTTGCTGTTGTGCAGTACACTGTGCTGTTGCGCAATACTTAATAAATCTGTTGCCAGACTATAAACAAATAAAGTTCAATTTCTTCTCAATGTCATATTTGAAATTTATGAAAATCAATAGGGAGATTACATCAATAGCTATAAATAATTCACCAAAGTTTCATGCGAACTGCTTAAAGCATTTTTGAGTTGTTGTCCAAAAACTGGAAAATCCCCCCTTTTTTAATGAATAAAAACCCCACAACTCAGAAATGTAAAATCTAAAATTTATAAAATTCTAAAGGGAGCTTACGGATTGATAATTTAGTCTTAGATGCAAGATTTTTTTATCAGTTGTTAGTGGCTTTGAACTAGCTGTCAGTAAATGCGAGTACTCTCAGATCTGTACTTAGTGTCTTTTAGTTGTTTGGATGTACAACTACCTGGCCACGTCCACTTGTATTTGTATTTATCCATCTGATGAGTTAAGCCTCTTTCAACTGATTTTTATAGTTCGTTCTTATATTGTACTGTTACACCACTGTCCCAGGTTAGGGGGTGGGTTGGGATCCTGCTAACATGTTTAACCCCGCCACATTCTGTATGTACATGTATGTGCCTGTTCCAAGTCAGGAGCCTGTAATTCAGTGGTTGTCGTTTGTTGATGTGTTGCATATTTGTTATTCGTTCACTTTTTGTACATAAATTAGGCCGTTAGTTTTCTTGTTTGAATTGTTTTACATTGTCATTTCGGGGCCTTTTATAGCTCACTGTGCGGTATGTGCTTTGCTCATTGTTGAAGGACGTACTGTGACCTATAGCTGTTAATTTCTGTGTCATTTGGTCTCTCGTGGAGAGTTGTCTCATTGGCAATCATACCACATCTTCTTTTTTATATTTACATCAACAGATATAAACAATTCACCAAAGTCAAACTTAGTTGTAAGATCTCTGAAATTTTTTACATGTTACAAGTTTTTTCTAATTGTTGGAGATTGTACGGTGACAGTAACACCTGTGACTGCTTAACCCATTTCTTATGCACTTTGGTTCGATAAACTCACTGAATATCATACCACATCTCCTTATTTTTTTATGCATTACAATTTACATGTGCATGTAATTGTAAATAATATTTATATATATATATCAGAACAAACTTCATTGCGTCACTTTTATTTATGCATCCTTTGGCACAATACAAGTTCTAAAATTACACAACATAAAACAACTAAATGTTATTTCAGATGAAAGTTTTGTTTCAGTTCCATTCATAGGATTTATTAGAATTTTGTATGTTTTGCCAAGTCCAATAATAAGCTCTATTTGCACATGTTAATTGGAGACTTTTCTATCCTGTATAAGAGTTTTGGAACTAATTCTGTTTCTTTTTTTGAAAAAGTGAGCAAACAAATCTTGCACATTTAAACCTTTGTCTGCCATCACACTGTCACCTGGATCACATAATTGAACTACACATGTATTCTACATCTTTCAACTATTTCACAGTCACTGGTACAACCAACATATGCATTAGAGACATACATTTTTGTAGTTGACTAAACCACCAGGTGTCGAACATATAAGTATTTTCAGTGTTTCTGTTTTTATATGATGAAAAGGTTGCCTGAGCTCTAGGAGCTTTATGTTTTATCACAGGATATTCTGTGCTGTCAATAATAATCCAAGTTGTAGGAAACTTTAATTTGAAGTTGGATGGCGAAAAATACCTGACTAAACCACTAAATGGCCAAGTGTTAGCCTCACGCCACTGTTTAGACATAAAAACAATCCATGTTTACACAATATTCTTAACACTAGTTTCAATCTAGAATCTAGACAGTTAAAAGTTGGTTGTATAATGCCTCAATTTCATCAAAGTCATAAAAAAATGATTTTCAAATGACACCCTATCAATTTGAAAATATATGTATCTCAAACAATGTGCTGCTGGACCAAGTGTGGTCAAAAAAAAAAATTTAGTATACAACTCTAAACTGGTATAAAATGCATGGCTGTGTCACGTGTCTTCATTTCAAAAATTCTCTGCTGAAAATATAGGCATTGATGGTGTTTGCGTAATTCCATCTGTGAAGCTCAACATTAGCTCGGCAGTTGGTGGTGGACAGTCATAAATCCTGTCTGCAGTATGAATGACTTCTTCAGGAAAACCAACTTTACAATCAAAACTTTCCTCTAGATTTCTACTACAATATTCATCAAGTTTAGTTCTTTTGTTTTCACAGGAAACTGCCCTGATTTTTCTTTTTGCGGACGATTCAGTCTCTTGCTTGATCCAGGAAAATAGGCTGGGAATGGCAGTAGACTTAAGTCTCTGTATGGAGGGTTTGCGCTCTGAAAAAGGTTATAAAACATTAGTTTTTTGATAATTAAATGAACTTCCATTAGCAATGCATACTTTGTACTACCTGGCAAAATATTAACTTCATTTATTCATTACAATCTGGATAAAACTATGTTAGCCTGATTCAATGTACATCAAAATGTATGTTATGTAAATCCAAAGGACAAACAATGAGAGACGTATGCAACAAACATACATTGTTTGTACCTAAATAACTATAATATAGATGAGAGATGTTTTGTTCCTGTTAACATTGTCATTGATATTTTTCAAGAAAGTCTATGAGGCATAGCTTATGCATTCCTGTCATTACTACATTAGCATAATTACTGCTAAAATAATTCTCAGTATGATATACCTCTTGTAAGAAATTATTATAATTGTAGCAAGCACCAAAAAATCTCAAACAGATCACATTGAATCGTAATCCAAAAAATTATGACGTCTTGAATTAACCACCCCCTTTTATTCTAAAACGATAATTGCGGTTGTAAACAGACTTTGGTTTATTCGCATGGCGATTACATATATAACTATATATTTTAAAAAGAAAATAGAGTTTTACCATGAATAGTTTCCTGCACGTAGTCTTTTTCAGTAAAATGTGCCTTGCAAACAACAGCTGATTGAGATGGACTCCACGATTTCACCGTGATCTCGTCCAATCTGCGTATGGGCCATGGCGTTGATCCAACTTTTCCTTCTTTTTAAGTCATTTGGAAATGCATGTCCTCCTCTTAAATGACATCCAGGTACACAACAACAAGTACTTGGCATCGTTAATTAAAAATGCAACTGTAATAGTTGCACAGTGCAGAAACCGGAAGTTGAAGAACAGGATCGGCTACCACGGCGCCACCTATTCAGGAACGATAATTTGCTACTTTATATAACTGCGAAATAACAATAACGTTAGACGGGTTCGCGTGCATAAACAGAAATGCGCTTTAAATTGTATAATATAATTCATGTTCAGTCGACCTTTAATTATTATATCAACGACTGAAATGATTTATAAACATCTAGATTGCAGATAACACTCGAAATTAACCCGACCTCTTTACACACGGAATTCAAATAATTCTAGTTTGTCAATCGGTTGACTGCTTATAATGTAAAATACAAATATATCAAAAGTTTTTAAAACTAACAAAACACAATGATTGTTTCTCTATTTCCCAATGTAAATGAAATGAAACAAAAAACATTTTATATCACAATAAGAAGAGGAGAGAATCAACATTTTCCGGATCTACTTGGAGCCTAATGACCCCCCACGTAGATAAGTTGGATATCGCGGAAAGAAAGATTAACACGGCAACTAGAAAGGCATTAAAGCACTGCCTTTAAAAATCAATTGAAAAGCGCTTAACTCATCAGATGGATACAAAGCAGAAATACCTCTAACAAAAACACAGAGCGGATGTGGTATTTTTTAAGTATCTAATCAAATTGCAGTTTTGCCTTTTCAAAATTGTTTCAGCAACCCATATGTTATATTTCAATAAGAAATCTAGCTTGAAATGTTGGTTTGTTGATCTAAATGAACAAAACATGATGGGTGGAGAGAGGTGTTAATATCTGTGGATACTTACACTAGGATCAGAACTACTTGATGGAACGGTAGGTGTAGTTACTGTCTGTGGTGGGAGGTGTTTAATTTCTGTGATTACTTACACTTGGACCAGAACTACTTGATGGAATGGTAGGTGTAGTTACTGTCTGTGGTGGGAGGTGTTTAATGTCTGTGATTACTTACACTTGGACCAGAACTACTTGATGGAATGGTAGGTGTAGTTACTGTCTGTGGTGGGAGGTGTTTAATGTCTGTGATTACTTACACTTGGACCAGAACTACTTGATGGAATGGTAGGTGTAGTTACTGTCTGTGGTGGGAGGTGTTTAATGTCTGTGATTACTTACACTAGGACCAGAACTACTTGATGGAATGGTAGGTGTAGTTACTGTCTGTGGTGGGAGGTGTTTAATGTCTGTGATTACTTACACTAGGACCAGAACTACTTGATGGAATGGTAGGTGCAGTTACTGTCTGTGGTGGGAGGTGTTTAATGTCTGTGATTACTTACACTTGGACCAGAACTACTTGATGGAATGGTAGGTGTAGTTACTGTCTGTGGTGGGAGGTGTTTAATGTCTGTGATTACTTACACTTGGACCAGAACTACTTGATGGAATGGTAGGTGTAGTTACTGTCTGTGGTGGGAGGTGTTTAATGTCTGTGATTACTTACACTTGGACCAGAACTACTTGATGGAATGGTAGGTGTAGTTACTGTCTGTGGTGGGAGGTGTTTAATGTCTGTGGTTACTTACACTAGGACCAGAACTACTTGATGGAACGGTAGGTGTAGTTACTGTCTGTGGTGGGAGACTTGGTGATGTATAAGGATTATATCCACCATACATTGGATATCCTGGGGCTCCTCCTTGTGCTACTGGCTGCAGACCAGTATGTGGGTATTGCATCGGTGCTCCAGGATTGCTGTTGTAAATATGATAAATAAACTATTTTTTATTGAAGCAAATTATTTTTCTTACATTCCAGTACACATCTTCATCAAATTATGATTTGTTTGGTTAGTGTGGATTCCTTATTTAAAATATGTGTGTAAATCTATAAATATACTAGTTACATCTTTTCAATATTAAACATTAGGTGTCAGTCTTTGTAAGAATCAGGCAGTTTAGAAAAATTTCATAACATGGCCAAAAAAAACCCAAGACCTAACCATCCTTTTTTGAATTTACCCTTATCTTGAGTTAGAAATGGTAGGTCTTTTGTTTTTGCGTGTCTGGTAATTCGAGAAATCTCTAGATAACTTTTGGTTAGAATGATAGCAAATTATGGAGTTAGCTCCCCTCAATTGTTAATTTGTAGTGCATTTTAACCAAATTATATCTTGAATTACCAGAACAGGAAAAGGAAACAAATGTTATATTCGTGCATAATTATACAATTTGTACATAAATTAATGTCAACTTGAGTGGGTTTTTGTTTGTCATGTTTTCACCACTGCTTGATTCGTAGGCAGATTGGCACTTTATAATAAATCATAAAACTTAGTTTTAAAATATAAGTGATTTTGAATGATACAGTTGCTTTATACATCTATAACAAATGAAATTGATAACATTCTTTGTCAGTTTACTTGTTGACTTTTCTGAGAAAAAGTAACTGTTTTGTATTACTGTGGATTCATTTGTATTAGTGGGCATCAACTTTCGTGGATTGAAGAAAAATTGTATTTTCGTGGATTGAAGAAAAATTGTATTGGTTTTGCCACCCTATATCTTTGAACATTTAAACTTGTGGTTAATATATATATCCTGAAATTTGGACATTGTTTGATATAGCTCATAAAGGGAGACAATTTGAATGTTCTTCAATAAGTGTGTAAATGTGCTGTAATGAACTGAAAATTGGACATTGTTTGATATAGCTCATAAAGGGAGACAATTTGAATGTTCTTCAATAAGTGTATAAATGTGCTGTAATGACATGAAAATTGGACATTGTTTGATATAGCTAATAAAGGGAGACAATTTGAATGTTCTTCAATAAGTGTGTAAATGTGCTATAATGAACTGAAAATTGGACATTGTTTGATATAGCTCATAAAGGGAGACAATTTGAATGTTCTTCAATAAGTGTGTAAATGTGCTATAATGAACTGAAAATTGGACATTGTTTGATATAGCTCATAAAGGGAGACAATTTGATTGTTCTTCAATAAGTGTGTAAATGTGATATAATGAACTTACAATCCTTGAGATACAAGTGATGGTGGACTTCTTCTGAATTCTTCTATAATGCTCTGTGTGATCTGGCCTAGGCTAGAATGCATTGTAAACTGAAAATAAAATAAATGTTTGTCAAAATGAAGAAAAATTACAAAGCTTAAAATTTTATTTTTTTCATAACATTATAATAAGTATGTTTACATGAATCACAAGATTGTATTTGGTCTTTGCAACTGCTTAATAGTTCTTTCCCCACACTTTAATATGTTTTTGAAAAATTAAAAGATTGACCTCATTGGCAATTAACAATGAGGTTTAAAATTTATAAAGATTTGTGAACTTTTCAATGAAATCCTGCAATGAACATGGTTTGCCTGGTAGGAAAACTACAAATGTGCAATAAGGCCATAAAAAAGAATAGGTTGGTTTGCCCTAACCCGACCGACCCATAAAAAAGCACCAGAGTCAAAATCTTTTTTTATTCAAAATTCACGATGTTTTTTTTTTTTAGTTTCCAACAAATTCTATCGTTTTTAAAACGCAAACACATGGATTGAGGTGTTTGATAAAAGGTGTGATGATGATTTCATGCTACGGAGAACTGATGAAATTTGTGTGACTGTCTCTGACCGATCGAGACACTCGTTTGAGCCCGATTTTGAGGAACCAATCTAAGTTGTCCAGGAATTTGATTCGGCATTAAAATGATATTATTCTGACAGAAGTTCTGTCAACAGTGTTTTGTTCAAGTGTTTCGTATTTGAATTTTGTATTCAAATAAACTTCTTCTTAGTATGAGCCTCCTTTAATTAGGAGAACCTCCAAATATATATGGAGTTTTTCCTTAACTTTGAAATTTTAAAGAATAAAACAAAAACGTTTTTTCAAACATATGTACAGCACATATAAATATAAAACAATAAAAGTATCATGCATGGCATATTTACAGGGACCTTTTTAATAATTATTTAATTTCATTTTCAAAGCTTTAAATATTTGTCGATAGCTTCTTTACATTTCTTACATATGTTATATGACAGACTCTGTGTTGGTATATATATGTCACTTATGATAATCACTATTTTCATTTGTTTGTCATTTCCTTCATTTTGAGATATATGTATATATATACATATATGCAATATATGTCTTGCTATTTGTTGTCCATAATTTTCAATCTTTCTATATGCATTTGGAATAACATATTTCTGGTTTTGTTTTCAATATTTTCCTGGAATTTTTACAATTATCAAACAGCTTCTTATATTTTGAACAGTCTATAACAATTGTACTATCACAGTTTTGTGCGTGAAGGTGCAGTTCCATTTTGTTGGTGTGATTTTATCAGTTATCTCTTTTCTTATTTCAGGGAAGTATTTTTCTCTCGTAGTACTGAGCATAAACTCATTTAAAATGTTTGTCTGTATTTACATTGAGGTGGAATGCTGAAAAAAAACCTGTTAATAGAAAAGATCTTTATAGCACATATAGATCCTGGCATATATGTGTCTGACAATTTATACAAAACTCTATAATAGTCTTTCATTTTAAAAGTTGTTTACAAGGTAAAATAATTTTTCCCCCTATTTTTCTCTCAAAGTATAAAAAAAAAAAAAAGAATTTCCCTACCTACCTTCCCACACCTGAGACTGGTGGGTAGGGTTTGGGCAAACAGAAATATTTTTAAGTCTGGCCTAAACGGTAATTTCTACCACAAGATAATTTCAGTCTTTAAAGTCCTTTCAAACACTTTAACAATAATTCAACTTCTCCTTTAAAAAGCCATGTTTAAACATTTTAACACAATAATGACCAACAATTATCTTAAGGGGTTTACTGATAATAACTTACAGAACTTAAACTTGGACAACCAATCAGCTTCCCTTGTGTATCCACCCATGTATGATTAACCAATGGTTCTACGGTAATGGTAGGTGGATCTTGTGGAAACTGTGGAGGAAGTGTGCTATAATAAAAATTAAATTGAAATATATTTTAAATGATATGCTGCTACTAACCGAATTCAAAATATTAATTCTGAGTAGTTCATCTACTGTATAACTAGGCTGTTAACACTTTGGTTGTGAAATAAAGCTCTGCCAGTGGCAAATGCATTTGACTCCAATCTTAATTGACAAATATTGACAGTTTTCCTGTCAAAGGTGGGTGGTTCTCTCCAGGCACTCCAGCTGCCTCCACTAATAGAAAACAAACCAACACAATATAGCCAATAGTGCCAAAAGTGGCATTAAACACCAATACTCAATCAATCAAAAGATAAGTTGGATTTAACTACAAGTCATTTTCATAGAAGAACTGCAGCAGCTAAAAATCAGGAACATCAATGAAAAAGCTGCTCCATTTATATATTATTTTCCAGTACATTATGACATTATTGCATATCAAATTCATCCCATATCTCTTCTATAAATTCATAAAACATAAAATGTATCAGTTTATATCAAATCATTGTTTGATTCCTTTTACAGCATACTTTACAGTAGGGTTTTGCTTTGGTCATTGATGAAGGCTGTACAGTCACCTATAGTTGTTGATGAAGGCTGTACAGTCACCTATAGTTGTTGATGAAGGCTGTACAGTCACCTATAGTCATTGATGAAGGTTGTACAGTCACCTATAGTTGTTGATGAAGGCTGTACAGTCACCTATAGTTGTTGATGAAGGCTGTACAGTCACCTATAGTCATTGATGAAGGCTGTACAGTCACCTATAGTTGTTTACATACATGTCCTTTAATCTCTGCTGGATAGTTGGTCATTTGCAATCATACCACACTATTATTTGTATATACATCCTAATGTAAAATGTAATTTGTTTGAAAATAAGACCAATATATTTTACTGAGGTTTAAAGGAAGAAGACATCAGATTTGCTTCAGGGTTAAATAAAGAAATTCAAGGACATTATAGACAGGAGCAGGAGCCAGGTGTAAATGTATGTAACTGTGGTACAAAAAATGTATACCCTTAGTGATCAACTAAAATTTGAAACATGATTGGAAAATTTTACACCCAAATAAAACAAAGAAGAATCATGTATATGCACTACCTACATAAATATACTTACATGACTAATGTTATATTATTATTACCACATCGAAATGTTACTCTGTATTCTGTGTTCTGAATTATCTCAATTGGACTGAAATGAAAAGAAATTTTACTTATATAGCATTCATACATTCAATGATTGTTATTAGCTTAAATCAGATTGTTAGTTTGCTATATATGCTGTATTGTTTCACATTTTGTTATCTGGGGCTTTTTATAGCATATTTTTTAGATACGTTTTGCTCATAGTTGAAGGTTATGCAGTGACATGTAGGTGTTTACATCCTTATCTTTTGATATTTCTATGGACAGCTGTCTCGTTGGCAATCATACCACATCTCCTTATTTTTACACTGTCATAATAATTTTTCCTTAATAGTTATAACATGTATAAGATTAAATTATGCTGTAAGCTTTCTCTGTTGGATTGTTTAACGTTTAATGTTAGGATATACAGTTTAATAGTGCCAAATGCTAACAAGTGATATAAGAGACGTCTGGAGAAGCAACTGCTGACTAATTATGTTATTATCCGACATTCAATGAATTTATAATGGGTGATAGAACGTATATTATATATAGAGAAAGAGTTCAAATTAGGTTATCTCTCATTTCTTAGAAGAAAAAAATTCTTTGCCCTAGTTGCCTATTTTTTTAATTATGGCTTTTTATATTTCAAATGCTGTTTATATTCCTCAAAATATTATTTTCTATGTTCCCTGGTTTTTTTTTTATATATCTTTTTCGTATTTGTTGGCATACAGTTTTTAAAATATTTTCTTTTTTATTTTTGGAAGGTTATTTTTGTTTTACTGATTTATTTTCCACGTAAACCCATTGATTAGCAGAATGATGTGCAAAGTGCTGCTTCATACGTTTTAGTTTGACAACACTACATTTGTATTTAATTTTCAGTCTGCGTTGGGTCAGTTCTGAAATAAAAATAATTACAGTGAGCAATACTTGTATACTAGTAGTTTGGTGATTCTTTATAATTGTGAATTTACTTTTTACTGTAAACAAATATTGTCCGAAAGTTGGTAATATATAACTAAAGTAGTACGCAAATAATAACACTAGAAGAAGATAACGATTCTTCTCGGGAATTAGGTTTATTTTGATATTTCTGTGTTTGTTAAATATGCATGAAATAATTGCCAGTGACATGAATGGACATTAAAACTAGAAGCATTCAATCGTTTGATGACCAGTTAATTAAATATTTACTATGATTTGTAGCCTAAAGAAAAGCAATTACTCCTATTTAAATAATTTTATGTTGCTGCCTTGACTCTTAATTGCATAATAATAATTTACGCACAATGCATGTTAACTTGTATGTATTTTTGACACCAATCTATAAAAAATATTTGCCGTGAAAAGACAATTCCATGATACACATATCAGTGATCAACAGCATGTGGTTGAACTTTGAACTTGACTTCACTCACAATACAATGTTGAATGCTAAAAATAGCTGGGATTAATTTTGTCAAATGCACGTGATGTTCTTATGGTGGGAAATATCGTAACAGTTAACACAGGTGACCTTACTGACCGACCGTTGGAAAATCCATTCATGATTTAATTTGATACGTAATGATTGGCAGTATTGTGCGTTAGTTTTGAGGCTCTTGATCGAGATCCATTAATAATTGATTTACCAGAATAGAAAATTTAATCCTTGTAATTATAAACAAAACAAGCTTTAGTCTTCTTTAACTATTTTATTTATTATATTTATTAGTCAACACCCAGATTCCTATTTAAATAATTTATTCGGACACCTCCTTTAAAGTTCGGGAATTATACAATTTAAACTGCCGACATCGATTTACAAAATCTTACTGACTGCACAAGCTTTAGAAAATGGCTAGAAATACGACGCAAAAGTAAAGACGGCTGATCATGAATAGTGTAAAACTTTGATCTTCATGTATTGATTGACACAATTCGTAAAATATGTTTATAAAAAACACGATTTTCATTAAAATTTCAAACATGGAAATAGAAAGGCAATATCTTTGTTATAATACAACGAGTGTCAACAAATCTGTTATTTCTATTATATGTAAATTTATTAAAAAACAAAATTTAAAATAATGCTGGGTCATAGAATATTGACGTGCATATGAAAAGTTTTTTTTATATAAAAACTAGGAATCGAAAGATGATCACTGCGTTATAAATATTGTAAAAAAAACAATTGTTTCAAAGAGATTAACGGGATATATATGTCAAAATAGAAAGCACGGATGATCTGGCTGACCAAATTGTTTTACTTGCGAGAAATGATTGACAGGTATGAATAGACGTAGAGGCTCCGACGGGGAATGTGGTATCGAAAGGAAAATAACAGTTTATTCACAATGCCTATATTCAATTTGTTTATATACTTTATAAATATGATATGTTGGCCTTATACTTAAAATTGTGTTTCTATTAATAACTTTAAGGAATAGGACGTTAAAAGGGGGAAATATTGTAACCATCAACGAAAACTCGTATAATTTACGGGATTGATGTCTCAACATTTTGATTAAAACTTCGATTGAAAACAGTCCTGGTTGTTATAATTTTGAATAAAATGAAATATTTACGGTTTACAAATACAAATAGTTTATTGGCACAAACACAATTATTATAATTGGCAACACATTTTTACAGTACATTGTTAAAAATCGTCTTTCTTTCATTTTCAAGTTAAAAAAAAGTTGATCCCATATTCATGATATTAAATTTTTATTTTTATTGTAATTTTTTCTTTGAATACAAAACAATATTTTACATTTATTATCTATCCTCCATAAATACTAAAATATCTGCACAGGTAAAATTTAATTCTAATCAAGCTGGTACAGATTGATTTACGACCTTCCACTCGGATATTGTACAGGTTAATATCACAGCAGGTGTTAATTACACTGAGACAACTGTTCGGCCAGTCTGACATCTAGACGGATTAAGACATCCATAATAATAAGTCTCTACCCGTACTGTACCTATCATTACAAATTGAAAAAAGTGGAAACTTATGCAAATATTAAGACTCCTGTCTAATTAGAGAAAACAAGAACAATTCATTAAAGTATACGTATATCATAATTCATAGCGATAATGACTCATTCTCAAATGATAATTTTTGTCCCAAGTAAAAAGCATTCCTTACTTTAAATTTGCTTTTTTCAATGAATCAATTTGTTTAGTTCGATGTGCCTGGAGATTTGTTTGTGATTGTGCTGTTGACTTGGATTTGTTTCCGATAAGCCAATTCATAATTTCGCCTTTCAGTTCCTTCTCAAGTAAGTTTGACAGGTGCTAATTATTCCCGGAAGTCACTCTTCGTCATCAAAAACGGGCTTCCGCTAGATCATGCGTCGCAGTTGAGCGCATGAAATCACAAAGAAATGTAGTTCATACATCATTTTCCGCTCGTACGTGCATATCACCTCCTGTCTTTCACCTAAACTGAAGTTGGTGTGTATTCAAGAGAACAATGAAAAGAATTAACCACTGAACAACCATTAATGCTACAGCTATGCATTGAAACCTTTACTATTTCCTGTGCATCTTTTATAGCTAAATTATTTTGTTGCACACTTGACACAAGTACCAACTTCCCACGTGCAATGCATTCAATGTTTTGACATATTTTGAATAAGATTAACTAAATAGTAGTTTATTTTGTTATTATGTTATTCTGTTGTATAATAATGTATAGATATATAGTCACCAAAATAACCATTCAGCATTGCAGTACATGTATGTTGATCAAGAGAGTAAACAATATACAGTATATCCAGTATAAATTAGTCTGGTAGAATTGATTTATTTATTAATTGTAATTGGCATTGAACTAGCTTTCAGTAACTGTGAGTACTCTTATCTGTGCTTTTTGTGTATTGTTTTTGTGCTCCAAACCCATCTAAAAGTGTATTCCAGTTGAGCTATTTGCACAGATATGTTCCAATTGTCGTAACCTCAATCCTGTCCTCTTTTCTTTGAATGTGACCTACCGAATAAAACTCATCATCCTGTTTGTACCTACATGAGCAACACGACAGGTGCCACATGTGTAGCAGGATCTGCCTACCATTCCAGAGCACCTGAGATCATCCCAGGGTTTTGGTTCTGTTTTTGTTGCTCATTCTTTAGTTCTCTATGTTGTGTTTTGTGTACTGTTGTTTCGTCTTTTATCGTTTTGCCACAGCATTGTCAGTTTGTGTTTCCTTTGTTATCTTTCGCCGCTCTTCTTGTTTTGTACAGTTTGTTTCATGGTGCTGTTACACCACTGTCTCTGGTTATGAGAGGGTTGAGCATTCCCAGGTAGGGAGCCTATAGTTGAGTGGTTGTCATTGGTTCTGGTCTGTCATATATGTTTTCGTAAATCAAATTGTAATAAAGAAGGCTGTTCAAATTCTCGCTATATTGTTTCACATGTTTCATGTTGGGCCTTATAACACAGACTACACATTATGGGATTTTCTGATTGTTGAATGCTTTGCGGTGGCCTATTATTGTTGATTTCATGTTATTTGAACTCTGGAACACGTATATTTGTCTCATTGGCAATCGTACCACATCTTTATAATTTGAAAGAATGTATAAACATAATGATCTGAGTGTACATCTTCTCTGTAATTGTAAAATTTGGAAAGTAATACCATGGTTAATCAAATTAGGATTGATGAACACAAACCCCACTAAACACTTGTCATAATATACATTTTTTGTATATAGAGTGAACAGTCTTGACGCTTAACCACAGGCCAACCAGCCCAGGCTTGTCATTTTGCTGTTGGGCCTGTAAAAATCAGGTCTACATGCCAATAGAATCCAACTAAAATTAAAAGTAAAATTTAGCTTCAGGCCTGTGGATTCTAAAGATTGTGAAGACGAGTGAAGGATCATTAGGGCAATACAAATAAACAAAGATGTGGAGTTAGGAGTTTAAAACAATGATAATCTGTATGTGTACATTGTAGAATACCTAGGAATTTTATGCAATGGGATGGAGATCCCAATTATTCCTGGATGATACTGGTTAGTGCCACTTTGATTCCTTCTAATGACAATGTTGTCTTCTAAAGTTGTTCCAGTTTACAGCTCAGGGGTTCAAATTAGCGGTGGTCTGAGGTCTGTGACCTTCCATTTACTGGTTCGGACCATCCCACCAATAGTTAGCTACACCTGATGGACTTTTGTACTTTTGCAGGTTAAGAAAATTACAAAAGCATTCTGAACAAAAATATAAAAATAATCTTAAAATATGCAACTACAAATGTATACTGAAAGGAAACTTTTGTGATTGCTTAAATTCTTCACAATTAATTTGATGGGTAGTCACCTGTCCCGTCGTCGTACAAGATACCGGGAAACTGGAGAATATAATATTAGAACATAACTAGTAAACGGTATGAGTCTGTTTGGTTTTGTGGTGACCTCTTCCAGAAGAAACCCCGATGAAACGAGTGATACAGCGGGTATGATTAGTGAAACGGCTTAAACACAGCCCAAAAACAGGATCTGACTAAAGACCAAATATATGACGGGGGAAAACGAGAACGTAGATTTTCCCCACACACACAGTGAAAGGGAAAGTGCCCTGGACAAAATTTTAAAACTTTTACACAAAAAATAATGATGAAAAATTTCCTCCAAGCATCTATATATCTTGCCAAAATATGTGATTAAAAGAAACTGACCCCAAATTTGAAAACGAAACTGTTATCTGACACACAGTAAGGCCAGTGTGTTCTAAAGCAGCAATTGAAACCAAAACAATTTAAAAGGTACACAGTGTTGGGGAAAAGGGGCTGCCTTTTTCTGACTGAATTGATTAAAGAAATTCAGAAAAGAATCAGGTTAATGTAGTAAGACATGATTAGTGCTTTGGATTGGTAAGCATTTTTGATTTTTTATTGTTGAATTTTCATTAAAAATTGCACCTCCAAAGAATAGAGGACCTTTAAGTATTTTTGGTCAAAGGTCCTGTACCTTCCATTGCCTATAGTAAGTTTGAAGCTTGCAGCTATATGATGAAAACAAGTTCTTATATTGGCTGGTGGAGGACATTTACAGTTTTAGTGTTTATTCAGGATTGTTTTCTATTATGCTTATCTATATATTCTGATAAATGTTTTGGTGTAACTTGTGTTCTTGCTTTATTAAGAGTTATGTGGTTGGAAGGCATCAGTGCTTGTGTCTTACCTTAAGCATTTTTAAAAAAAAAAATCAGCCTCTTGTCTTTTGTTGTTCCTATTTATCATCTAGAGATGATAGGGCAAGTTCTTTCATTATCTTTGTGATACATCCATCTTCTCTTGATTTGTAATCTTTGTAGGTGAATTACATCTGCACTTTGTTGTATTCTCTCTACCTGTTTGTTCCTCTTTTTATACGCCCGTTTACGGGACGTATTATGGTATACCGTTGTCCGTCGTCAACATGTCGGACATTAACTCAAAAATGCTTTCACCAATTTGCATAAAACTTTGGTGAATTGTTTATATCTATTGACGTGAGCTCCCTTTCGTTTTTAATAAAATTTAGATTTTTATGTTTCCGAGTTATGGGGTTTTATTCATTAAAAAAGGGGGGATTTTCCAGTTATGGACAATAAGTCAAGAATGAATTCACCAACTTGCATGAAATAGTGGTGAATTGTTTATATCTATTGACATGAGCTCCCTTTCGATTTTTATAAATTTTAGATTTTACGTTTCCAAGTTACAGGGTTTTATTCATAAAAAAGGGGGGATTTTCCAGTTTTTGGACAAAAACTCAAAAAATGCTTTCAGCAATTCTTATGAAACTTTGGTGAATTGTTTGTATGTATTGATGTAAGCTACTTTTAGAATTTTATAAATTTTACATTTTACATTTCTGAGTTATGGGGTTTTATTCATTAGAAAAGTGGTGATTTTCCAGTTTTCGGACAATAATTCAAAAATGCTGTCACCAGTTTTCAGGAAACTTTGGTGAATTGTTTATATCTATTGATGTAAGCTCCCTTTTTATTTTCATAAATTTCTAATATGACATTGAGAATTAATTGAACTTTATTTGTTTATAGTCTCACAACAGATATACTAAGTATTGCACAACAGCAAGAAATCTTTAATTGAATAAAAATTCAATTCATATAACCAATTTTCAAATTGACTACATTTATTCAGAAACCTATAATATGTCAAATATTTAATTACAATCCAAATTCAGACATGAATCAAGCTTGAATATTGTGTCCATTTTTGCCCCAACTGTTCAGGGTTGGACCTCTGCGGGCGTATTTGTCTGTGCTCCATAAGAGATCTTACTTATGAGATATACATGTGTATGCACTTGCATAATTATGGGCAGTGTTTTTGTTTGTGTCTGAGGAGTTTTAGGATTGAACTGGCTTTTTACTGATGTTTGTTATGTGTGTATTAGTTTAAGTAAGGCCAAAATTAAAATTAAGTTTGTTTCCCCTTACCCGACCGACCCTCCAAAAATCCGCCGACTGAAATAATTTTTTTCGAAAATCACGTTGTTGTTTTTTTTTTTTTTTCGTTTCTCTCAAAAGTTCGTTTTTTTAATTTCGTTTCCTTGAATGGTCCGTATTTTCAACATTCCGCGAAATCATTGTCGCCCGTGTGTTTGCAGCAAAGGGTAAACAACGTATGCAAGGATACTGAAATTGGAATGGAATAATGTTTTAAATAAATGCATCCGAGCAATCTTAACTACTCTTCCTTTCTAGCTACGCCTCCAATAACAAAATGCGTAGGGAGAATGGCCGAGTAGTTACGATTGCGCATCCGAGCTCACCCTTGAGCTTAAATGTTAGGCCTGGTGTTTCTGCTGTGTTTGTGGTAAATCCCTGAGTTCGCCTTTATCAGTGGTTGACTCAATAAGTTGTATATTGGCGTGCTATTTATGCTATTTTGTTTCATTTCGTATGTGATATTGGACCATACACTAGTTGTCTTTGGATAAAATAGTAGTTGATTTTTTTCGAGCTCAGTATCATATTGTGATGTGAAAAGTTGAGATGACTATACCAGCTTATGCTTTGATTAAAGTTCTTGTAAGTTCTTATGTCTTTTATAAGCTATAATGGGCTGATGATTAAATATGGTCACACATTCAGGGTTTTGTGAAATAAGATGCCAGTGTTTCATTATTATATTTTTAGTTTCTGTATAGATGGGTTGAATTTTGTTAACATTACTAGCAGTTGCTCCCATTTCGCTGGGCGATGTGTTAGCAAGTTTTCCCTTTCTGTATTTTGTGTTTGATAAAAAAAATCGTTGATTTCAGATATTTGATATCCTCGTTTGAGCTTCTTACTGTTTTTTAAGATCAGTTTTGCTGCTTGTGTTTCTGAGATACCTCAATACTTCACCCTTGATAAATCATTTCAATGAAAACACTTTTTGGGTGTGAGCAGTGTCTGTGCAGATATTGATATGTTTCAGTTGGTTTGATATTGGTTTTAATGTCTTGTATCATACTATGCCTTCGTTAAAGAATCTTTCTCCTTTGTATAATTATATTGCCCCCAAGGGTGACTGGGGAATAGAAGTATGGTCACCATTGGTCTTCCTCCGACCGGCAGTAAAACCCGTGCTAAAGTGGGGCGTCCGTTTGGCTGTGCGGGATGTACAAATTTGCAGCCACGTCCGGTCAGAATGGGGACGTTAAATCCGATGCCTCGTGTAAAGAGAGTGCCACGCTCTTTGCACGTTAAGAACCCTTGCAACAACTCTTTGAGGGGTCCGTAGGTGACCTGTTGCAAGGCTAGATTTCTGTCCCTATCCAATATACCCTCATTTCCCGTGGCAGTCTAAATTTCTCCGACCTTAACCCCTTAATCTATTACAGAACCTACCTATTGTAGTTATTGTGAACTTGTTCTCGTCCTGAATATGCATGAAATATTTGCCACTGGACGTTAAGCAACCAACAATCAATCAATTGTATAATTATGACAGTGTCTAAGAATATTGTTTCATTACAGGAAAATTCGTAGGTGAACTTCAACTATCATTATCATTTTGTTTCTCTATGTTGAAAGCGTTGTAAAATGTGTTCAAGAATTAACAAACATTGTAAGGTCTGCTAACTCAGCAAATACTGATCCGCACATAGACACGCCCAAGGTTTCATGGTAAAGTTTATAGTTTTCTAGAATAAGCCTTAATAGGCGTAGTCATACTCGCTTGGATCACGGTTTGTGGCTTCTAGTATTTCCTTAAATGGAAAACAAGTGTACATATTTTTTGCATCGAATGTTACTAGGTAGCAGTCTCGTTGGGGTTTTATATTTTCAATTGAATTAATAAAACTATAAGAAAAATATAGAACCGTGTCTCAATTTATATGTGGTCTACTCTAAGTCACAAAGACATTGATATTTACCAACATTTTCTAGTCTGAAATTGTAAGGTCTTCTAGTCATGCATATTACGTTATGCAGTATGTTGTTTTAGTATCAATAAAGTTCAATTTGTTGTTTTTCTGTGTTTTCCTGTGTGTTAGATATATTTCAGGCATTTTCTCTCTAAAAAAAAAAAAAAAAGCCTACCTACCTACCCACTTCCAAAATGGTGGGTAGGGTAAGGGGAAACAAAGATATTTTTAATTGCGGCCTAATCATATTTAAACTCCAAAGTATTGTTTGATGTTTACTGCTTCAAGGGTGTCTTAAAACGTTTTTCATGTTTTAAAATTCAAGTTGCTTATAAGTATAACATCTTTATAGATCCTGTTATGCCTTAAAACATTTCTGGTTGCACAGGTTTGGCTGTATTCTGAATAAATTTTTAGGTTTAAACATGGCTATTTTTGTCACAAGGTTATGCTGAACTTTAATATTTTCAGTTGTATTAGCGACATAACAAAAATTATTGAGAATCTTTATATAATTATAATTTATTGAGGGTTCTCACTAGGATACGTTTAAGGTGAGTCCTGAAACTCATCACTTTTTGAATTGGTTAGTCCCAGCTGATTCCGATGAATCAATATATTTCAAGAAGTTGACCATGAAATTGTGCTCACATCAACTTGAAACTTCATTGTCATAATGATTTAACATTTTATGATATATAAAAACTTAACAGTTATGGTTTTGACACATATTTTGCAGTTCACTGAACAAGGAAATGTTATCATGTGACTGGAGTTTGGTGTCATATGGACATGTACTCATGTTATGTACATATAGCTCCCTTCAAATTTTAATATAAAAATATTTAAAAATTTACTGGCTTAGGCCTTCACACCACTACTTTGTTTAATGAAGTGTAATCAAGGGGTTAAAGCCAACATTGAACAGCTGCAATACACATTAGATTTATAGTGATATCAGTTATGTTTAATTCAATTGATGAAAATATAAACAGAGTTTTACTTCCATGTCCGAATTTCATTACAAGCAGCGCGCATGAAACTTCCTTTTATTCTGCTAGACATAAGATTGACAGAATGCAAATTTTGCTGGTCCTGCATATTTGAAATTGTAATGAGATATTATGCTTGAATACTTGAAAACCTGAAAATGAAATGAAAATATAAAAAATATCTGTTGCAGCTGTTTTTCTTACCTTGTGCCCTTATAATACCGAACCCACCAAGCCTCCTTGCAATGTACTTCTACTGGCATGGTTTCAAAATTTCAATTTCAAACAAAGTTACAGCTACCCCACAAAGCAGAAACATACTTCAACAACCTTTTTGTCTGTACGAAACTGTCTGACAATTAGATTGACACAAAATGCTTAATCATTCAACCTAACAAAATTTGGGTTTCATGTCCAAAGGGTCTGACTATTTTCTCAAAGTCTGCACAAGTCTCAAGCACAATACTGCAACAAGGATTAACAATTTTAATTTTTAAGAAATTCCATCTTTCTTGTGCATGTTGTGAAATAAGTTATATTTATTAGACTTCCTTTTTACTCCCCCCCTTTTATCTGTAGACAGAATAAGCATAGACAAACATGAAGGCGGTTCAAAAGAAAGTCTAAACATGGTTATTTAAACATTTATCTTAGTTTGTGTAAAGTACATTTTTATTTTACAGTTCTTATGAAGAATAGTCTGATTGAAATGTATTAAAGAAACACGGATTTTCCAAATCAGCCATTTATAGTATAAATGTAATACATGTATAATATTATGTATTTCCAGGAAGAAAAAACATCAAGAAAAGGTGAACTTTTAAAGAATTGTAACTGAACACGGGATGCTGGCAGTATGCCATCTATAGCACACACAGAATATGGAATTAAAGATGTCTGGCAAAACAACATGGAAGAGGAGTTTAGGAAAATACGCCATGTTGTTCAAAAATATAGATATGTTGCTATGGTAATTGTAAATCAATTTTCTATAAAATACATGTAGTTTTCCCTTAATACAACAAAAAATCTCCTTTTTTTTCTTAAATTTTATCATGCTATAAAATATTATAACTTGCTTAGTGCTTAATCAGTGCTCCAGATTATTGGAGTATGCTGTAACTTGCTGTTTATCATTTTACTTTAGAATTCAAGTATAAAATGTATTGTTATTTACCTACTGGAATGGAGTGTTATTTAACCTCTGCACTGAAATAAATATACAATATAAGGTCAATGTCAGAAAAATATATAAATTTTTTTGTATGAGTCTAAGGGCGAGGTTATACCGAGCCCTTCCCCAGTTTTGTGCCAAATACAAAAAAGTTTATATTTTTTCTTACATTGACCTAATATTGTTTTTATACTGCAACTTAAATTAATACATTGATAGCTATTTAAATTGTCAAACTTATTTTCACCCCTAAATGAACCCCTGGTTGTGGAAAAAGTGATCCATGATTGCACAAAATATAGCTTTGTTGCTATATTTAGGAAATAAACACATCTAGTTGCAGTATGCACAAAATATAGCTTTGTTGCAATATTTAGGAAATAAACACATGTAGTTGCAGTATAAAGGAGGTAAAGTTAATCGGATATACTTACAATTGATTTCAAATGATGCATTTATGAAACAACTTAAGTTGTGATAGAACTCACTGACAGTTAATTTTTACAAACTATTTATAGGCTTTCATTTCCAGTACAGAAGTGTTGCTATTGCCTTTAGCATTCACAAGAATGAAATAATTACCAACATGACCAAACAAAAAGCAGTAGTTGACAAATTCTACACATGTTATGGTAAATAAAATATTTTTAAACTCCGTGGCTTTATATTTTGTAACAGGACACAGAGTTTCCTGGAGTTGTAGCACGGCCAATAGGAGAGTTTAGAAATGCTGCAGATTTCCAGTACCAGTTGTTACGGTGTAATGTAGACTTGCTCAAGATCATACAGTGTGGTATAACATTTTTAGACGAGAATGGTGATACACCATCACCTATATCAACATGGCAGTTTAACTTTAAATATAGTTTAGTGTAAGTGACAAAGTTTGCTTTGTTAAAACAATGGTAGATTAGAATTTTTCATCAAGTATTGTTATGTTTGTTTGTCCATTTGAAAATGACAATGACAAACAGCAGACAGATTGTCATATTAAACCTGAAAAAGAAAAATGTTTGTCATGGTTGTTAAAAGAAATGGAGAAAAACATGTTTCAGGAACTTGTTTCTCAGCTTCAACACGCATAAACAATTGGACAAAACAAGGAAATATGGAAATAAGAAGATGTGGTATTACTGCCAATGAATCAACTCTCCATTAAAAACCAAATGATGTAGAAATTAGCAATTATAGGTCATTGTACGGCCTTTAACAATGAGAAAACCCATACCACATACCAAGCTTTAAAAGTCCCCAAAATGACAAATTTAAAACAATTCAAACAAGAAAACTAACATCCTAATTTATGTAAAAAAAACAATAAATGAAAAACAAATATGATATACCGCAAAAAATTCAGTTGAACAAACAACTGAATTACAGGCTCCTGTCTTGGCACGAACAGAGTGTGGTGGAGTTTACCATGTTTGTTCCAATGGTTCCAAAGGATTTGAGAAATCAACTGAACATTTGGTCCAGTAAACCATTCTTCTTAACTGGACCAGAGCCTTTTTCACAGGACATTTACTCATGATTTGGACAAAATTGAAAATCTTACAGGTCATTTGGTCCAGTAATGCATATTGCTTTAACTGAAACAAACCAATTTTTACTTGCCTTTGCCCAAAATCTGGCAATCTTGGGACTGACTGTTGTGGGTTCCGAACCCACCACTAACCTAGGACAGTGTTGTAATAACACAACATAAGAAGAAACTATTAAAAGGGCTTAAATCATCAGATCGTTACAAACCACAAAAAAATTAACGAAATCAAAGGACACAAAGTACAGATCTGAGAGTACTCACAGTTACTGAAAGCAAGTTCAAAGCCAATAATAACTGATAAGAAAATCATGTATCTAAGACTTTAATATAGATCAGTCCACATCCAACAAATTTAGTGTAAAGACGTCATTAACATTCATAGAAAAATATGACCTTGTTAAAGGCCAAAATATGGGTAATGATAGAAGGTAGGATCGTGCATATACATATGTGTATATGATAGCAATGATACTGTTTGGATTGTTTTAATTTATTAATAATGAAATCAATATTATTACCAATAAAACATCATTTTATAAAGAAATTATAGAAACAGATGAAATTTACATTTGTGTTATCTTGAATTATTTGTTTACAAAAATGTTTTTGAATTTGTAGGGAAGACATGTTTGCACAAGAATCAATAGATTTACTACAGAATTCTGGGATTCAGTTTAAGAAACATGAAGAGGAAGGAATTGAAGTATATGAATTTGCTGAGTTGTTAATGACATCTGGTATAGTGCTAAGTGAAAATGTCAAATGGTTGTCTTTTCACAGGTAAAAGACTATTTCATACTGATGAATAAATTATTACCTTTTTAATGTCATATCAGCTATTAACAGCTACATCACGGTTAATTATCACCATGTAGTGTGATGCTTGTTAGGTTTCTGTCTGTTGACTGAATGAATAAAAGGATGTGGGGTGTACATCAATGAGACAGCAACCAAGGTTACAAAACAATAAGTATGTACAAAAGTTTCTTTTTCTGAGCAATTACAATCATAGAAACTAATTGATAACAACGTTCATTTTTGGGTAAAGATTGCATGAAATGCAATCAAAACCCTATGGTACTGACTTGATATCTATACCCTCCATGGTTTATCACTACCTTTTATACAGTTCAAACAAAATAGCGCAGTGCAGTGATCATTAGTTAGATCCTATCCAGTCAATGTCATACAATTTATTGATGATATGTTATACTTTCATATTTAAGTTACAATATGATGTGTATCTGACCTACCATACTTGTAAAGGAAACATTTTTTTATCAAAAAATACATAAGTAATGCATGGAGTATGAGGTTCAACTACAAATGTACAATCATGAACAAAGGAAGATAACTCCAACTCAAATTTTTAATTGATCTAGCACAATACAATAATTTTTCAATGTTTTATTTAAAAATTCACAAAATTGCAAAATGAAAGCAGTCTTTATCCTTCAGTGCTCACAAGTGCTTTGATTATAACTTTTACTATGCAACACATTTTCAGAACCTTTCTATGTGTTTTGTTCCTTCAAATGCATGTATTTACTAAAAAAAAAATTATTCACATTTTTCACCATAAATTTCTCAGAAAATACCTAGCTTGTTGATGTAATTTGATACCAGCTTTTTTTGTGGTTAAAGCACATCATGTTTTATGTTTTCATTTTCTCCTCTGAGCTACATCATACTTACCTAATGCATGTATAATTTCTTCTCAATCAAAAGTGATAGTATGGGTACGTACTAGTCAGATAAGTTGACTTTTCATCTTATTCAGTTTTGTATTAAGTAATTTCAAGTTTGTCCACCAATCAGGTAAGGTCTTTTTGTTGTACAGAAAATTTCTTTACTGCATGTAGACAAGTGAAGAAATTTAAAACATACTGCTTTCCATTTTGATACTCAAAAACAGTTCAGTTCAGATTGACATTGATGTATAAAATAAAAAACATCTATTAAATATTTGGTATCTTTTACAGTGGATATGACTTTGGATATTTGTTGAAGTTGTTAACAGATCAGCCTTTACCATCAGAAGAATCAGAATTCTTTGAATATTTACGGATATATTTCCCTAATATTTATGATGTTAAATATTTAATGAAAAGCTGTAAAAACTTGAAAGGAGGATTACAAGAGGTAGCGGAACAGTTAGAGGTAACTAAGCATGTAGTATATGTGTAACTTATAAAGTATGATGTTTAGAAGTGCATGAAAATGTGTATCTCACTAATAATAATGAATTCACAGTAAACCTGATATAACAAAAATAAGTGTAAATCTCAACAAATTTGGTAAGAGTGTGCCGAAATCCTGTAATTGATAGATAAAACAAAAAATGTAAAACCGATTCATCCTTAGTAAAATACTGTATTATTTATATATCACTATATCTTTGAAGGACATTTAGCTAAAACAATACACGGGCAGCAGTCTGAAATAACAAATCTGAATGATATGTAATGCTATGAAAAGAAAGAAGAAATTTGTAATGAAGCATTTCATTTTGGTATTTATCAGTAAATACTGGATTTTTAAATTAGAAATGCAGTTTTATAATAGGGATTAGGTAAATGATTAATGATGTTGAAAAAAGATAAAAGTGCAAGAACATACATTGCGAAATCAAGTTTTTTCCTTATTTCTTGCTTGTATTACTCTTTAATCCACCCCCTGTCTGGCAAATTGAATTTGGGAGTAAAAAAATGGGTTATGCATGCCTGATTACAGTATTTGGATTTTACAGAATTTTGTGAATCAAATTGTAATACAAATACAAGCACGATATTGATAATAGTACATTTTGTATATAAGTATCTTATTGTATTTCAGATTGAAAGAATAGGTCCCCAGCATCAAGCAGGTAGTGACAGTTTATTAACAGGGGCAGCATTTTTCAAAATGAGAGAGGTAATTTTTTTACTGCTAATATATTTTCAAGGCTGATTCAAATATTCAAATGCATTGGTTGGGAGAAAAAAATGGCCCCCAAACTAGGCAAGTTTAGGAGTAGAACTTGTAAAAATTCAATGCATTATAAAAATGATGAGGTATGATTGCCATTAAGACAATTATCCACCAAAGTTCAAATAAAGTGGATGTAAGCAGTTATAGACAGCTACGGCCTTCCACAATGAGAAAAACCCATACTGTATAGTCGGGCCCGACATAAAAAATATGAAACAATTCAATTGAGAAAACTAACGGCCTAATTTATAACAAAACAATTTACGAAAAACAAATATGACAGACATGAACCAACTACAACCACTGAACTACAGGCTCCTGACTTGGGACAGGCACATAAAGAATATGGCGGGGTTAAACATGTTTGTGAGGGCTCAACCCTCCGCCTAACCTGGGACAGTGGTGTAACAGCACAACATAAGAACAAACTAAAAAAATCAGTTAAAACAGGCATAACCCGATCCGATAGATACAAAGCAGAAAAACATATATTGACCATATATTTAGCTCCAAAAGCCCCATCCCCCATGCTTTTAGAAAAACGGTAAGAAAGCATACAGAAATGTGATGAAACAGTCAATACAAGTTCGTTGTTGCCATGAATCTAGTATCAATAATCTTGACAGTTTAAAAAAAGGACCCCAAATTTCAAGTCTACCTCAAAATGACAGGAATTGTGTGAAAAATTTCCTGATCCTTGCTCTGGTCTTTTACAATACATAATACTTAAATTCAGCATAAATGATTTCCTGTTTATTTTCAGATGTTTTTTGAAGATAACATAGACGATGCCAAATATTGTGGTCATTTATATGGACTTGGTACATCATATGTTCAAAATGGGACAGGTTACGACAATAATGTGTTTGGTACACAAAATCATAATTCTGTGTCAACGCCGCATGATGAAACGAACTCTGTATCAAGTAATTCATAGAATCTCATGCTGTGCAATATTTTGGAATGTCTTTAGAAGAGTTGTTGTAACCATGATAAAGGCAAGATCATGTGACATCAAGAACAACGTTGAAAAATGAGTGACCAGCACTACCAATGAGATCATGTGACTTATCAGCATGAAAATAGGCAGCTATTGTATAGGGTTCATGACCTTGTCCTTTCATCTGACCTTCTGTGATAAATCAAACAGGGACAACCATCATGTCATCAAGTGTCTCAGGTGTAACTATGGTTACTATATTTCTATAGAGATATTTCAAAATGTTGTTCGATGAGCTCACTTCTATATGTCCATCGAAAAGAAAATTCTTTTGAAACAAATTAAAAAAAGAGTGAATAACTTAAAGGGAAAAAAGAAAGCAGTGCATAATTTTTTAATTTCCAACTTGGTGTTTGAACATCAGGAAATGTTAATACATTCTAAAAAGTTTTTTACAAAAACTTCTAGCTTAAAGAATTGATAATTTTTTTTGATACTTTTTATGTTGAAATACTCAGAAATAATCAAGACATTTGTTAAATTGTGATCAATAAGAGTTAAATCTATAAATATTCTCTTATAAATGGACATACGGAAATGACTTTTTGTTGTAACATTGTCTTTCATAAATCATGTACCATCTCCGACAATTTATTCAGGGGACACAACTGGGGCCACAATATCATGTACGAACTACATTTCCATGTTGACAGGATGGAAAAGATATAAGATTTAATTAATCAAATTTAATCTCCTTGCAACTATATTTACCATTTAAACAGGATATTGGAATGCCATCTTTATTATTGAAATGAAATATTAGCAAGATACAGCTTTTAATATTGAAAACTTGTTTATATTTGTAGATTTTCAGTCAATATCTTTCAAATGTAGAACCGTTAATTAAAAAAAAGAAGTTAAAGCTGTATTAAAAATGATTATGACCTGTGTCAGTTTATAACTAAATGTATTACTATCTAAGTTAATAAATATAAAACGTAGTTGCATGGGGAATAACTCTGTCTCAAGTAATTGTTCTAAAATTCCATCAGTGTTTCTACTGAGGATTGCTAAAGCGACTGTGATATTTTTGTGATTTATTTTTCTGAAGCACTCTTTTTGTTTTCATTTTAAATTGAAGCAGTTTCCATTATTTTATTTCCATCAGACTCCATCACTGTTTTACATGAAACTATAGAACTGTTAATAGTATTTTTTGTTATGGACCTGAATGATATATGTGAAATATATTGACCTGAAGAAAGGGTGATGTCTTAGTTATTCAATGGATACCCAATCTACTTATTTGTAAAAATCATAATTTTTCTTCTATAAAAGAAATGCAAGATTTATGTCTCTTTCTCAATCCAGAAGTTTTTGTATCTACAAAAATACTAATTCAGATTTCTAATTCTCACAATATTTCTACAAACAGATCACTTTAGAAAATATAATTTTTATTCAATATTAGAAAGATTGAAGCATATTATACAATTGACTGTCATCTTGATAGCTTGAGACAGAGTTCTTATAAAGCAGTTGCTTAAAACTAAATAAGTAAATAAAGAAAATTATTATGGACATTAAGTCAAAACCTTGTCTAGCTAGGTTAAAGTATTTTCACAAATTTCTTTTTATTGTGATGTATATACATACTAGTATTAGTCATTATTTTCTTGATTTGTGAAAAAAATAATGAATTTTCAAATGAACAGTTTTAGAAAATGAAGTGTTGAATTACTGTATGTATATTGTAATTAAATTTGCAACCCTTTGTAAATCTGCAGTATTTTGTTTTTGATCGTAAACCTGTAATTTTGTTAGTGGTTTTCCAGAGTTACAAAGGATATATTAATAATTGTATTTTTATCCTTTTCTCACTGTCTACACAATTTTAATCTTTAAGTTGTATTTTGTCATGTAATAATGCCAAAATGATTTCTTTTATATTTTTGTACGTCTGTCTAGAATACTTTTTATTTTAATCTTTTTATCAAGTGGAAATGATGGACTAAAGTGCAATATATAATTCATTCATTGTGGATATCCTTTGTCATAAAATGTGATCTTTTATATTTTTGACATTGAATTATCAAATTGTGATGAGATATGTGTATTTACAGGAATTTGTTATGTCTTTTATACACACCGTACTGTTTATATTACAAATATGTATTACGCAAAAACACTATTCAATTTCTATGCAGGAGTTATAAAAATATCTTTTTTGGTTAAACATCCCAGACTAACTTGTCTAATTTATCATAACTGGAGATATATGTAACAAAATTTTAATGGTGGTCAGACATTTAAAAAAAAAAAAGAAAAATAATAAGTGTCCATTTGACACCATACCCTGGCAACAAACTTGATGGTAAAGTACCTTAAACCAAAACTTGAACCTGATTCAGGACAGACGAATGAGCTGACCGGAAAACATTACTCCCCCTAATGTCATAGGCTGTGGCAAACTTTTTCCACCAAAAAAAAAAAACTGTCATGATATAGCCAAGAGTCCTGAAATTGGTGTTTAACACTAACAATCAATCAGGCAATCAATCAATTATAAGCGGAGGCATAAATACACAAAAAAAAAACTTGTAAGTTATTAACTTATTTTGAGAAAAAAAAATGTTATAGTAGGTCAAACTTATAAAATGTGTATAAATCCTACATAGAATTTTATTAGCTGAATAATGGTACCAAAGTTTTGTTTGTCATAGTCATGGTGTTTGCTTTGCCTAGAACGTCGGAGTGCTTTATAAAAAGTCATTTGTCCAATTATGGTCTTTTGACCTTATTTAGAAGAAATGATTGCTGATAAGTGATAAGTAGTTTTCCTTTCAGATTGATTCATATTGCTCAATACCGGCAGCATTTAAATTCACACCATTAAAACATAACCCTGAAAATGTATCATTTATACATTGATAGAAATTTCTTTTGAAATTTTAAAAACTTAAAGCTTCTGTATGAAAATGTTGATGAAACCAAATACAAAGACATGACAAATTCCTGTTATAAATAATTCAGGTTTTTATATTATCATGTATTGTTCAGTATCATGACATAAGAAATTTAATCCACATACATTGTGCCATGTTTTTACCAATTTTATATCGGAAATCTGCTTTGGAATTTTAGAATGATTGCTTCAGATTTCTGTCTTATTGTTTTAAATGAACTTTTAGCTTTTATTTAGTATTTAAAAAGAAAGATGTACAGTATTGTTGGCATTGAATTTATGGTAAAGATTTACAAGGGGAAATTTATCCCTGAAATGAATACCTTAACTGAAAATATCATTCTGAAATAATGAGTGATGTTTAAAAAATGCAATTGCACTTCTGGCTGTTTCTTTCAAAAATATGTGGTATCTAGGGCAGGGTTTGTTTCAATTGGTACTTTTGGTGGTTGTACTAAAAATTTGTTTTGAGTATAAATGCGAAATACTTCTCTGCTTCAATAAATTGTTCCTTTGTTTTCAAAACGACTTTGATGAACATAGCAATGGTTTTAATGAACAGACTTATGAAAAAAGATGGCATCCACTTAATTTTTTTATCATTATTTATTGATAGTTATTATTCATTTCCATTAATTGTATGTTTAATAAAGATAATTAATAATGCCTAACAGTACTGTTCATTTTTTAGGTCAATAAGTTAATATTATTATTACAGAAATAGTAACTTCTATATCTGTAATCTTGTTTTTGTCGTATCTTTATTTTAAGACGTCCTGTCCACATGCTGTTTATGCAAATGGGAGATAACTCTATATTGGAATTGTTTCATTTTTGGTCAGCAAAATAATGATCTCAGAAATTCATTTCTACATACAGTTCCACATACATTACAGAGCTACCTCCCATCAAATAACACAGATTTGTTTTGCATCAATTAAATCAGCTGAGTCAAGCTTTTATATGCTGTTATATGTGGACAAAGTTTTGATTGAAGTATGTTTAGTGCTTAATTTTATGCCAAATTGATTTGTAGTTCTCCAAAATGTTGGTATCCACCCAACTCTGATCACTGTGTATATATATAATGAAGATGTTGGGTTTTATCATCCCTGACTAAATCTGTCTGTAATCTAACTTGTGTGGATGTTTTTTTTAAATTTCTTATCAACAAGAATGTGAGAAAAAAAATGATTATATAATTGATTGTTCTAGGAAGATTGTATTGAATTGTTGGAAGGCATCTACTCCTTCAATCAAAATAAAAAATTCTGAATCCATGTTTTTTCCTGTCACAATTTAAAATTTGGTCCTTGATGATTACTCTAAATCAGAGAGATATAAGTTTCCATAAAGTAAATTGCAAAAAAAGGTTGAGATACAACAAACAAGATTGTCAAGAACAAATCTGACATTTACTGTTGGGGCATCTATTCATCCGTCAGCTTTGTCTATTACATATGACTAATTCACTTAAATTCTCTGTAAGTATTGTTTGAAATGTTTGTCTTTTTTTATTTAGAAAAGAAATTTTATAATTGTATTTTCTTTTGATAAAAAGAACAGCCTTACCACACTTACAGATTACTTACACTCAAATACCTTTCAGTAATTCCATACAACTTTCCTTGAATAAGACTAATGGAAGTAGAACTTTTACAGCAAGAAATGACTTTGTAATTTTTCGAGTTGATTTTTAAGATGACAAGGGATGATAATAAAAACATTGATACAAGTTTTGTATGTAGTACTAACCTTTTGACTGACATCAGCCCATTAGTTAAGAATGTTTTTTGTATGTTTTAAACAGCTTTGTTCATGTGAGATCATTTGTTTTTATTTGAGAAGGTATTTGATCGTGTTTAGAAATTGAAGTTTTTAATTGACAGTTCACACTCAATGTTTGCATATTAAATGATTAATGCTCCAAAATTTTTAACATCTAAAATAGTAGTGATAGCTGCACTATTTCGTTAAATATCAAGGTTACTTTCCATGTTTTTAATATGAACTCCATTTTCTAAACATGATCATATACCATTCTGATTCTAGGGCTTTCAATCTTTTTGAGGGAGGTTTTAAATTAGATCGTCCATTTAATTATATGTTTATTAATTTTATTTTTTCCATTTTAATTTCAAGAATCTCAGGATTGAAGAGTGTTGGAATCAAACATACATGTCATTTAATTGACAGGAATTATATAAATATTTCCATCATATTAATATATATATATACCTTCTGAAAAGTTTTGCTTTTATAGATAATTTAGTTTTATGTATGTTCCATCTAAGTTATATCAAAATAATATACATACAAAAACTTCAAATAATAGCTGTAAAAAGCTACCTGAACAATTGTAAATAGAATTTTCCCCCTTTTTTCTTTACATACTATAAAATCATGTGAACTGAAATTAATCTTTTAATGCAAATTTGTTAGTTTTAATATTGAATTTGTGATTTTGCTTTTTACAATCTTGATTTTTATTATTTCTGTCTATAAAATTTGAAAAAAATGAATGGTCAGTGTGTGTGTATGAAAGTGGCTGTTTAAAAAGAAAGATAATTGAATGGATTATCTCCCTTGTTGGGAGGCTTTGGGGGCTGGTGTCTGTGGCCCTTACTATGTATATTTTAGTGTAAATGTGGACCTGGTTGTCTTTTTATGAATTGTAAATAAAATTTGTGGATGACCAGTCCATAAAACATACAGCAAAAATATAACATGTGTTGTTCTTTATCTGATAACATTTACAGGCTTCATTCCAAATCATCAGTCTGTCAGTTTATAAATATTATTTAGACTGATCTGTCATAAGTTTAACTTGGTTGATCATGGCTTTTATGGCGGCTACTGACATTAAAACTTTCTACTCAAGAAATGATCAAGTATGTCACTAAGCACAAGTGACAAAATGTTTTGTTATATATACATTTATATGTGTACTTCCAGCAGGAGTATCATTAGTGAGCTTATCAACTTATTATACGCCACGGACGAAGTTCCGTATGGTATTATGTTTTTGACCTGTCCGTCTGTCCGTCTGTCAGTCCTGTTCTTGTCATCCCAACTCCTCTGAAACCACACAACAGAATTTCACGAAACTTTGTTGATAACATGGACATACTATGTAGATGTGCATATCGGCAGGAAATTACGATTCAATTTTTTTTCTACAAGTTATGCCCATTGGAACATAGAATTTTTGCCTTAATATACTACTGCAACAGTTTGTCATCGCAACTCCTCTGAATCCACACAACAGAATTTCATGAAACTTTGTAGATAATTAGGACATACTATGCAGATGTGCACATCCTCAAGAAATTTTTATCAGTTGATGTTTGTAGCAGTTATGAGTCTTTGAACTTGGGAATCTGGTGATATTTTGTTTGTCAAGTGACAAAGTGGGGTGTGGGGTATCTGAGCTTTCTCACAAAGGTTCTTTAATTTTATCTATTTGCCTTTCCTTGAATAAAGTATCCCTAGATTACATAAGCATAGGAGCCATTACTAGTTGTGTAAATTAATAGAATAGTTAAGATTAATAAGATGGACAATTTCACATCTCATGGTAAAAATCTTCATTGTTAAATCGTATGTTTGTGAATGATGGACACATTTTGGGCATTGTACATGATTGAGAGGGATGCAAATTTAATGTTTTCTGGGTTAGTAACTCACCTGTATCCACTTCA